CATTACAGAAAACTTGCTGACTCATGATTGAGAACAAAGAAGTTGGTCACCTCATTGAATTCTATCCACGTGGCATTACAGCCAGGATGGGTGTTCCAATTTGAAGTGTGGAGTGAGTTCAGAGAAGAGTGAGCAGAATGCTGAAGAGAGTCCTCAATCCCTATCTTGTTTTGGGTGAGAAAATTGAGAATTTCTAACCTAGAAGAAGATGCCACATGGAAAACGTAGAACTTCAAGTCTGTGTGAATTGTTTGCATTCTTGGAAGAGAATTACTGAAGGAGGGCAATAATGCTGGTAGATCAAAGGGCTCCTTCCTACCCAAGCCAGAACACTGGATTCAAGTTCAGACTTCTCCTTGGTTTTCTCCGAACTTCAGTTTGTTCAGCTCAGAAATGAAGCATTTGTCTGCCAGCTCATCAGATGACCAGATGCATAGTGAATAATGATACAGCATTCATCATCAAGTTATGTGCAAGCATGGAGAAAACAGGCACAAATACACAGATGCAGTGTGGACAGAGTGCTGAGGACGTGCCCAGGAAGTGTCAGTTCTACCTAGCACTGGTTGGAACCCAAGCCTATGAGAAGTGGAATCCAATCTCTCTGGCTCAGAGTGTGAGGAAAGTCTATGGAGGAGTTGAAAGGTTGTCCTATGAGAGAGGAACGAGGCTGGAGCTTCATGATCCCAAGCAATAACAGTTTGAACTGTGGTCACAAATCCGAATGTATCAACCTCTTACTTGAAACCCTTCATGGCCTTTGCCTGCTCTTCAATTGAATGCTGGCATCTCACTCAGGATCCACAGGCCCCATTGATCTGGCCTCAAGGCTGGTGTTCCTGGGCTCACCTTGTTTTCTTTGCCTCTGGAGTTTGTGGTCCATCCTCTGTCCTCAGCTCAGCCTTACATCCTGAAGAATCCTCCCCAGCCTGCTGAAGGTCACAGCCCCACATCGCAGCTCTTGCTGAGCAATGTTCCTTTCCCATGGCATTGTGGCCCCCGTGGTGTTCCACTGCCACAAACAGGGACATCTGTGGATCTGTACCAGGAGCAGATGTTCTACTGCCTTCCAAACAGTGGCATCAGCTTGCTGAACAGGGCCTGGCCCATCGCAGCAGCTCAAGCTATGTTCATAGAATTATGATAGACTTTGACTTAAAAAAGAGAAAACATTCCAGAAGAGGAAATGGGCTCCCAGAGGAGTGAGGCAGTTCCCAGCTAGAAGGAATACAAGCACTGGTTGGGTGACAAATGGTGGAGTGGTTGTAATGGGAGTGGAGCTAGATAGTTCACACTAGATAGGGCTTTCTCCCTCAGCCATGTGTGATTCCCGCATATTGACCATTAGGGTGACTTCTTGGTGTCAGGGAGGCCCTGAAACTACAAAATGGGAGTGAAGCCAGGCTCTTTGCTCACTGCACCTAAACAGTTGTCTCTCCTGGATCAATGAGGCCTGCAGGATGGACAAGGCATTCTGTGATTCCACAAATACGGAGTTACAGCTTACTCTTTGATAGTAGGCTGTCCCACCTATGGCGTTGTGCTTTTATAGCCGAATGGGTTTTAAAAACCCCATGTGCAGGGCCAGGGTGTGGCACAATGGATTAAGCTGCTGCCTGCTATGCCGGCATCCCATATGAGCACTGGTTCATATCCTGGCTACTCCCCTTCTGATCCAGTGCCCTGCTAATGAGCCTGGGAAAGCAGCAGAAGATGGCCCGAGTGCCACTTAACATGGGAGATCTGACTTCAGGCTGGCCCAACACTGTTGTTGGAGCCATCTGGGAAGTGGACTCGCTGGTGGCAGATCTTTCTGTCTCTCCTTCTCACTATAATTCTGATTTTCAAACAAAAAACACACATGCAGTTAGAAAAATTAAACTTGCCTTTAAAATGGTAAGTTTTGTTTAACACTCCTGTGAGATGAAATCAAGCTCTGACTTGTGATGTTCTTAAAACCACACACACACACACACACACACACACACAAATCCTCTTGGTGTTTGGCAGTTTCCTGTGTTGGTGATGTTGTTTTTAATTTAACAGGAGCCTTGCGTGAATGTGTCTGATCCTGTGGGGTCCCACAGCTCCCAGCTGGAGTAGCTGCATGACAGGCTGCACTTGAATGTCTTGCTGGCCATGACCTGTACGATAAAAACCCTCCACTGGGTGTGGTTTTCCTCAGTGATAGCAATCTTGTAGTTGTGATATTGCTTGACTAAATGGAAGACCATCATTTCTTATTTGACCAGAATTAATACACCAAACAGAAAAGTCTTTGGTCTCACTGTTTCAAAGGTGTATTAATGTATTATTTATTTTTCTAGCCATATTAGTTAACAATATGTACTGTGTTTATTAAAGGTAGTGCTTTTAACTTAAATTTTTAAACAAAGTGATTTTACTGTTTCTTTACTACCTCAAACATGTAGATGAAAAAGACTTTTCGGCCAGTGCCGTGGCTCACTAGGCTAATCCTCCGCCTTGCGGCGCCAGCACACCGGGTTCTAGTCCCGGTTGGGGCGCCGGATTCTGTCCCGGTTGCCCCTCTTCCAGGCCAGCTCTCTGCTGTGGCCAGGGAGTGCAGTGGAGGATGGCCCAAGTGCTTGGGCCCTGCACCCCATGGGAGACCAGGATAAGCACCTGGCTCCTGCCTTTGGATCAGCGCGGTGTGCTGGCCACAGCGGCCATTGGAGGGTGAACCAACGGCAAAGGAAGACCTTTCTCTCTGTCTCTCTCTCTCACTGTCCACTCTGCCTGTCAAAAAAAAAAAAAAAAAAAAAAAAACAAACCCGAAAAAGACTTTTCTCTCCATCTAGCCCAGGCCTGAGGTAAGCCCTCCCCAACCATGTAGGAGCTCTTGATAAGCCCTCTCTTGCTTGAGAAGCAACTTAGCAGGCCACACACAGTTGATGGCATCAAGTGTGTGCAGAGAGAAAGCTCCATGGTACTGGGGCTGAACCTGGATAAGATTAGGAAAGGAAGTAGATGGGGTTGAAGATGTGTGACTAGTTCATGGGGAAGTGGACAGTAAAGAATTAACCATCTGAGACCTGGAACAGCCAGCAAGTGTTGGAGGCAAAGCAGATGCTGCTGAGTTTGCATGAGAGGGAGCGGGCGGCCGGGCACTGGCAACCTCAGGTCCTGGGTGTAGACCTGCTGTCTGCATAATCTCTTGGTTTCTGGCTCTTCAGTGCCTTTTAGTTTTGTTTTTAGGGTTTTGTTTTTTTTCCTTTTTCTCTTTGGTTTCCTGTTTCAGTGTTTGAATTACTTTAGCTTTGGTACATTGTACAGAATGGAAAAAAAAAAAAATACACACTGAGTAGAATTTTACCACCAAAAAAATAGTTGGCCTCCACTTTTTTTTTTTTTGGAGTTCCTCTTGGTGGTCTTGCCTGCCATATGTAGTCTGAGTGATCACAGATTGGATCTTAATTTCAGGTATTCACACTGTTGCTTTTAGGAGGTCCTAGCATTGTAACTCCTCAAGGTCATGCTAACTGTTGCAGCATGGCTTCTGATTGTGTGGGTTAGAGTCTTGGCTTGCTTTAATGCTGATGGTTGGGGGCATGCATGAAGTCTAATCAATAAAATATACTTCCTAATAGAACAGAAATATCTAGCTCCATTTCAGCTGCTGCCCAAGTGGTTCATGCCAGAGGATTAAAAAATTTCAGGGATAGGTATCGTGGTACAGTGAGTTAAGCCACCACTTGGGTTGGCTACATCCTGTATCGGAGTGCCTGGTTCCAGTTCCAGCTACTCCACACTTTGGTTCTAGCTTCCTATTAATGTACATGGGAAGTACCTGGACTTCTGCACCTCACTTGAGAGATTCTGGCTCCTGGCTTTAGCAAGGCCTAACCCTAGCTGTTGCAGGCATTTGGGGAGTGAACCAGCAGAAAGCATGTACTCTCTATGCTTCTGCCTTTCAAATAAAATAAAAACTTTTTTTATAAAGATTTATTTGTTCATTTGAAAGTGTTACAGAGAGAAAGAGAGAGATAAAGAGAGAGAAAGAGAAGAGTGGCAGATCTTCTATCCACTGGTTCACTCCTCAAATGGCCACAGTGGCCAGGGCTGGATCAGGCTGAAGCCAGGAGCCTTTTTTGGGTCTCCTATGTAGGTGCGAAGGCCCAAGGACTTGGATCATTTTCAGCTGCTTTCTCATGCTATTAGCAGGGAGCTGGATCATAAGTGGTGCAACCAATACTGGAACCCGTGCCCATATGGGATGCTGGTAGTGCAGATGATGGCTTAATTTGCCGTGCCACAGTACTGGCCCTAGTACAAACTTTTTTTTTTTTTTAAAAAGAGAATTTTACTTTTTGCATCTTGGCAGGCATGATAGAAGATCAAATCCATGATCCCTAGCAGTACTTCTCTTTTGCAGCCTACACTTCCCAGGGATTCTTTGCCAGCACTTGCCCCCATCCATACTCCATTTTACTTACTTATTTATTTATTTTTATTGCATAGAAGGTCAGATTCTCTCATCTTCTTCCTCCAAGTCCTGATTACCATGCACCAGGACCTCGTTAGGCAGGTTCCCACTTCTCTGGTGGAAGAGGGAGATAGGCAGGTGGCACATAGGGGATCCCTGTGAACCTTCTGAGGTTATCAGAATTGTCCTCAAGATGCTCTTCTGCAAAGTGTCTCGTCACTGTGTTTTCTTCTTTGTCATTTTGGAGTTGTCATCCAGTTATTGGGCTAGGCAGGAGATAAATTTTTTAAAACTGTTTGCAAGGAGTTTCCATTCTGCTCGCTATGACAACACTGACTAGAAGGTTACCTGGCTCCATGATTCATAAGCAGGACAGTAGAGTGGTCAGGGAGCTCTGTTCAGAGCTCTAGCTTTGCTGCTTACCAGCCAGGATAGTTTCCCCTCATAGTTTTCTCATCTGCACAATTAGGTGCTGATCAGAGTAATAACAGTATTCATTGTTTGCTTGTGGTGTATCAGACAGCATACTAAGTGCTTTTCCTACATTTCCTTTAAGCCTCACAAGCGCTTAGAGAGGTGGATGTGGCTGTGCCTCCTGTTTTGCTATGTGGTGGTGATGAGAAGCGGCGTACATTGAGCACCTGCTGCATACCAGACAATGTCATGTACTGTCTTCATTCCCAGTTTCAGAAATGGAAGCTTAGACTGGTGAAGTCCATTGCCCCACATCATGTGCTGCTGTGTTCAAGGCCTCTACTGACTGCTCTGAGGTATGGTGCTGGGAGTGAATGAGGTGACTGTGAAGAAATTCACACTGAGGCTGGAGTAGAGAAGAAGCTGAAGTTGCATCGATTTTAGTGATTAGCAAAGCCTACCAAGTCATTATATTTCTCCTTTAACTTAGAAGTTCTGTTCCTAATAACATCAGGGAGTGGCTTGTAGGGATCTTACGCATTTCTGTGTGGCAATGGCCATCTTGTAAGTGACTTCGTGAGTCCCACCAACTCCCCTCCCACCAATACCCCATCATTGTGCTCCTTAGCTCTTCTTCCTCCTCCCCTCCTCCTCCTCCTCCCCTCCTCCTCCTCTTCGTCATCGTCCTCCTCCTCCTTCTTACTTTTCCTCTTTCTCTTCCTCTTCTATTTATTTATTTATTTGAAAGGCAAAGTGACAGAAAGATATTCCATCTGCTGGTTCATGCTCCAAATGTCTGCAATGATTGGGGCTGGGCAAGGCCAAAGCCAAGAGCCAGGAACTCCATCCTGTCTCCCACATAGGTGGCAGGGACCAAGTACTTGGGCCATCTTCTGCCTTCCCAGGCTCATTAGCAAGGAGGTGGATTGGAAGCAGTGCAGCCAGGACTTGAACAGGTCCTCTAATTTGGGATCTGGTGTCACAGGCAGCAGCTTAACCCACTGTGCCACAACACCAGCTCTTTTGGTCCTTCTTGGCATGAATTACTTAACCAACCAAACTATACGGGCATGTTGGGAAGTACAGGCTTGTGTGCTAGGGTTGCTAAGTTGATTATATCACCATTTCTTGGATTGTAGGTAGGGTTTGATTTTAAGGATAACGTATGTATGTGTGTGTATGTGTGTAAGTGGTGGGGAGGGAGAGTGTGTGTGTCTTGGGAGAGCCATAATGTAGTCAGTTCCCAGGAAGGGACCAGCAGCTGTAGAAGAGGCCTTATGCTCAGGAGAGGTGACCTTGGCTCAGGGATCTTATATCTAGTGCCCCAAAGGGTAGTTGGCAAGTTAAGTGAATGCAGCAGGTTAGATGGAGTCTGTGACAGATGAGTGCACATGCCTATGGGGCAGGGCAGTAGCATCCCCACTTCAGTAACACAAACCCTTCGCACTCACTCCCAGGTGACAAACAGCAGGTGCTCTCAGAGAAGAAGGACCGTGGCTGGGTAGTCCACAGCTCTCAGCCTCCTGAGCCAGGGCAGCAAGGGCAAAACTGCAGAAAGTGAGAAATCCCAGCCATTACTTAGGGAAGGGAATAGGTGCTCTCATACATGTGGAGGGAGTGTGAATTGGCAAAGTTGTTTTGGAAGGTGTTTTGGTAACATCTGCTGAAACTAAAAATGTTTTGACTCAGACTTTCCTCCTCTTGAAATCTCCCCTAAAAACAGCTGCCCTGACTCCATAAGCATTGTTAGATAAAAAATGTTTGTCACAGCATTGTTTATAAAAGTGAAAAATAGGCAATAATTCAAATGTTTATCCATAATATGCTCATACATAGGACATTCTATACTGAACTATTGTGCATTCATAGAAAAGAATAACAATTATATACTGCTATGGAAAGATATCTAGTTTTTTAGAGCAAAAAATTATAAAATCTGTGTAACATTCCATTTTTAAAGAAATGTTTATAGCTACAAAGGAAATTATCACAATTTTTTTCTTTTTTTGCTTTTCATAAAAACAGCTTTGGAAATAAGTGATTCTTCCCAACATACCTGCCCTCTGGTCCATATTACCACACCTTTCCTCCTCTCTCTACTATTTCCATTCTTATTTTTTGCTAAGTTTTATTTTCTATTAACTTTATTTTTTTAAAGATTTATTTATTTATTTGAAAGTCAGAGTTACACAGAGAAAGAAGGAGAGGCAGAGAGAGAGAGAGATCTTCCATCTGCAGGTTTACTCCCCAGTTGGCCACAATGACTGGAGCTGCGCCAATCCGAAGCCAGGAGCCAGGAGCTTCTTCCATGTCTCCCACTCGAGTGCAGAGGCCCAAGGACCTGGGCCATCTTCCACTGATTTCCCAGGCCATAGCAGAGAGCTGGATCAGAAGTGGAACAGCTGGGACTTGAACCAGCGGCGCCCATATGGGATGCCAGTACTGTAGGCGGCAAATTTTTTACCCACTATGTCACAGTGCCAGTCCCACTGCAACATCTTGTGATGGAAAGCAGAAGGGGGAGGGTGGAGAGAGAACCCTGTTGTGTTCTTTTGGGGGGGTCATGTTGTCTTCTTGTTTCTTGAATTGCTGCATTTATTATTAGCTGTTTGTGGTGATACTTTGATACTCCCCCCCCCCCCCCCGTGATGGCTTTTATCTTTGAACTATGTCTCTGAGGCTTAGTGGAGTGTCTGCTCTTTCAGTGAATACCCAGAGGCATGTGCTGGTTGTGGTCAGGGAGCTCTGTTCAGAGCTCCAGGGTGAAGGGAGTGTCTATGGTGACACCCAAATTGGGTATGGTAAATCGCCTGTTTTTTTTTTTTTTTTTTTTAAATCAGAGGGGAGGTTTGTTCCCCTCTGTTGGTATAATCTCATGCTCACCTCTTCTTCTCAAAGGACACCAATGCCTGGGCACTAGCTCTGGTGGGTATAATTTTAATCCACACTGCCACAAAATCCATACAAAGGACCCATGCAATCCTCAGTGTGAACACGGATCTTGCAACAATTACCCTCACCAGAGAATCAGAGAGCCCTTAGCATGTGGAACTGCCCACAGTGACTGCCCAAAGTCCCAGCCATACCCTGCACACTCCCATGCAACCAGAGTGTTTCCGCAGACCTGGCATACAAGACTCCCACAGTCACGAGCTCCCAGCCCCCTGTCAATTCTCCCATCCAGACTCAGGCATCTCCTCTCAGCAGATTGCTGGGCACATGGAGCTGGCACAGCTGTTACATATGTCCAAAATGGTGCCTGCCCACTCTCCACAAGTTTCAGGATGCTGGTACTGGATTGTCAGGAAGAGAGAAACATGCCCTCCTTTTTTTCTCTCTAGGTTGGCAGTCCCCCACAGGGCTCCAAGCCAGACTCACACCAGGCTTTTCCTCGGCTTTATTGCCAGTGGCTGGCTGCAATCTGGTCTCACCTCACTCCAAAGCTGGTGCTGAGGCTCTTGGCGCTGGGGTCCTGAGTTGTACACGTCCACACCCTCCATGTGGGTTCACAGTGTCCCACTAATTTGTGTAGTTTCCTTTTCCATTTTCTTCCTAACTCTTCCTTTAGATTGCACTCTCTCTACTTTTTAAAAATTATCTTCCCTTAGACTAGAGCAGTAAGCTCCCTCCCTATTACACTGTCTTGACTCCTCACAAAATTCTTGTTCTATGAATTTAAGTATTACCATAATTACTTGCATGTATCATAGCTTTCAAAGCTATGAAATAAGTCTGATTTAATGAAGATTAAATTATAAAGGTAAAGGCAGTATAGCTGTTTGTTTTATACATTTATAAAAAGTCTTACTAATTTTCTGAGTGGTGCAAAGATAGAATGGTTTGAATAGCTAATAATTTGTTCTAATTAGATAAGCACTTGTTTTTGAAAATGTCCTTTTATATAATTATAAACTTTATTTGCTAGTAATTTTTTCTTTATTTGCTGGGAAGTTCTTTCTTTGTTGAAAGTGCAGATGTACATCAAATATCCAGATAATCAAAAATCCTAAAGTAGTAGGTTCCACATTGATGAAATTTTTCCTATAGCTAATCACTGGAATTTTATCAGATCCTGTGCTGTGGAGGAAATCATTTCGCAATGAACCCCAGGTGGTTTGGTCATTATTCAGGAGTCCTCTTTCTCATTTGGACTTCAGCATTTTACATGCTCAAATATAACATGATCTGGAATCTTCCAAACAGAAAAATAATGCAAGTGCACCATTTGAGCGCAGCAGTTTTACGTCTTGTCAAATCAGGAATCACAGTGTGTGTTACAAGCAGCATATCTAAATCCATCTCATGACTCTTCTTTTAAGTGGTCCACTTTCTGGAAATGATGTCTATGTGACTGCTGTTTGAGTCACTCATTCTGTGTCATTAAAGTAACTTGTGGCCTATAATGACTCAAAAACACAGTAGTGGGTAGAAGTCAATGCTGGAGCCATCCCCATTTCCATAGGCCACCTGGTTGGATGCCTGTAGTGCACACAAAGCTGTCAGTGCTGAGATACTCAGCAAGGACCAAGTGTACGCCAGGCACTGTGCTAGTGCTTAAAATTTGTATTCTTCTGTAGCAAATCAGGGTTTTCACTCTGATTTTACTCTAAGAAAATTTAGGGTAAGTAAGGAGGGTGCCACAGTCACACAGTTAGGTAAAGTAGTAGAAGAACCTTTTGAATTCAGGTCTCAAAATTGTGAAGCCCATACTCTTTATGTTTATTGTCCCTCTTTAATTTTGTTAAACAAAGATATGTTTATACATGACAGCAATTGTGAGAGACCTAGGTGTTTCTTTAATTTTTGGATTGAATTGTTGAATACTTTAAAAATATACAAATTGGCCGGCGCCGCAGCTCACTAGGCTAATCCTCCGCCTTGCGGCGCCGGCACACCAGGTTCTAGTCCTGGTTGGGGCGCCGGATTCTGTCCCGGTTGCCCCTCTTCCAGGCCAGCTTTCTGCTGTGGCCAGGGAGTGCAGTGGAGGATGGCCCAGGTGCTTGGCCCTGCACCCCATGGGAGACCAGGATAAGCACCTGGCTCCTGCCATCGGATCAGCGCGGAGCGCCAGCTGCAGCGGCCATTGGAGGGTGAACCAATGGCAAAGGAAGACCTTTCTCTCTCTCTCTCTCTCACTGTCCACTCTGCCTGTCAAAAAAAAAAAATAATATATATATATATATATATACACAAGTCAAAGATAGCTACTTTATTGGCAAAATTCTCCAATGTGTATGTATTTTTCTCTTAAACCATACTTAATGTAATAGTATTTTGTTTTTAAATTTTTGTAGGAAGTGACCAGGTTCACTCCTGGACACTAGTTACAAATCAAGCCTTGCACACTGCCTGGAGGATAGCCAAGGGCTCTGTGATGTTGGCGGTCTCCTTTCTGGTGGCCACCCTCTGCTACTTCCAGAGAATGCATTTGTATGTAGGACACCGGCTGAAATGGTAGGTCATGTGTCATCTTTAAATTTCAAAAAGTACCCAGGCTGCTTAAAGCAGAGCTTTGATATTTTTGTTCCCTCCATCTTTCAGGTGGATCGGATATCTGCAGAGAAAATTCAAAAGTAAATATTTTCAATCTTATATTTCCTTATTTGTAAGGTGCAGAGGGGGCCCATGATGGGAGAGGAAAAGGAACATTCACTACCTTTTAATTTTTTATTTGGTCCAGGGAACCTCAGCGTGGAGGCCGAAGTTGATTTGCTCAGTTATTGTGCGAGAGAATGGAAAGGAGAGACACCCCGTGCCAAACTAATGAGGAAGGTGTGTCTACTTATAGAGGTGATGGAGGATGTGAAATTTTCTGTCAAAATCAGGAAACATTACATTTTGCATTACCGAATCCAGAAATCATCCACTACCAAGTGGGATGTGAAAAATGGTTATGACTTTTAATTCAGAAGCTAAAGAGTTGCTAGATATTAGCTTGGGGCCTTTCTTATTATAGAGCTCATGCTTTCAAGGTCTATAATTCAGGAAACTTGAGCTATAAGCTCTTCTTGGCTCTAGCCTTGCTGGGCCCATTGAACACTTGCATGTGCACTGGGGATTGTTCTTGAAGGGGTCAGGCACCCTGATATAAATATTTTGAAGATTTTTGGAATTTTTCCATTGAGCCAACCTTGGTAAATATTTCCAGCAGTGCTATCCAGTATTGTTACTAGCAAAAGCCAATAAAAAGGGAGAGGTTTGTTTAAAGTTCTCCTTAGCATAACCATAGAAGTGTGCAGTGTTTTTCACTGTGGTGAGCTTGCATCCATTCCCAGCCCAAAAATGACCTGCCCTGACCCTGAGTATCCAAGATTTGTCATCTAAGATGGCATGACACAGACCCTAATGTCTAAGAGTCATTTTAAAATCACCTGTAGTCGTATTCACAATTTATCCTGGCGTCTGTTGTTCACTTAGCAGTGGGAGGAACACCTCACAAAAATATACTTTTTTGATGTGTCTGCTGAATTTGCTTTCATTATCCTCTTGCGCAGTGGAACTAATAAACAACTTTCTCTCTTTTTGCTAATAGGCTTATGAGGAGCTGTTTTGGAGGCATCATATTAAATGTATTAGACAAGTAAAGAAAGATAACTATGATGCTCTAAGATCAGTGCTGTTTCAGATATTCAGCCAGGGCTTGTCTTTTCCATCTTGGATGAAAGAGAAAGACATTGTTAAGGTATGTCTTCACACTGGCAACTGGAAGTATCATGTTGAGGACACCTGTGACTCCGAAGCTCCTGGTCTTCTCTGGGCAGCTTTGTACTTAAGATCATGAGATTGAAAGAACATTGATTCTCTATCTCTCAGGTCAGTTTGCACATGAACCATTTCAGGAAGATAGATATACTCTATTTTTAACACCCTCATCTTTTCATGAGTTATCTGTCTTTAAAAGTAAAATGGTCTGGTAAAATTCATTTTTTTAAAAATACTTTTATTTGAGAGGCAGAGAAGACAGACAGACACACACACACACACACACACACACACACACAGAAAGAGAATGAGAATGAGAATGAGAATATGAATGCAAGTTTTCCTGTCCACTGGTTCATTCCCCAGGTCCTTGCAGTGGCAAGCCAGGAGCCAGGAACTCAGTCCACATTAGAGGGCGGCAGGAACCCAATCAGTTGAATCATCACTGTTACCTTCCAGAATCTGTATTAGCAGGAAGCTGGAGTCAGGAGCAAGGCATTGAACCCAGGCACTCCAATATGGGATGCAGGCATCTTAACCAGTAAGCTAAATGCCTGCCCCAAATTCATGTTTTTATTCAACAGCTATAGGAATTTTAAAAAAGATTTTATTAATTTATTTGAGAGGTGGAGCTACAGAGAGGGAGAGACAGAGAGGTCTTCCATCCGCTGCTCCACTCCCCAAATGGCCATAATGGCCAGAGCTGGGCCTATCTGAAGCCAGGAGCCAGGAACTTCTGGGTCTCCTACATAGGTGCAGGGTCCCAATGACTTGAACCCTCTTCTCCTGTCTTCCTAGGCCATAGCAGAGCTGGATCAGAAGAGGAGCTGCTGGGACACAGATTGGTTCCTATATGGGATGCCAGTGCCACTGGTGGAGGCTTAGCCTACTGTGCCACAGCACTGGCCCACAGTTATAGGAATTTTAATGAATGCATATAGTGTGTAACCACCACCTCCAAAGAATTTCTTGGATACTTTTGTAGTTAGTTGTTTTTCTCCCAGCTCCTGGCAACCACTGACCCGTGTTCTGTCCCTGTAGTTTTGCTTTTTCCAAAAAGACATATAAATGGGATCATATTATATGTAGTCTTCTTTTATAAAATTTTTATTTATTTCCATTTTATTTGAAAAGCAGATAGAAATAGAGGCAGACAGATGGAGAGATATCTTCCATCTGTTAGTTCACTCCCCAAATGCCCACAACTGCCAGGGGTAGTAGACCAGGCTAATGCCAGGAGTCTGGAACTCAATCTGGGGCTTCCATGTGGGTGGTAGAGATACAAGTAATTGAGTCATTATCTGCTGGCCCCAGGGTGTGCATTAACAGAAAACTTCATCTGAAGCCAAGTAGCCAGGAATTAAACCAGCCACTCTGATATGAGAATCAGGCATCACAAGCAGCAACTTAACCACTGTGCTAAATGCCAGTCCCTATAGCCTTTTGAACCTTGCCTCTTTCCCTTAATATAAAGCATTTGCAATTCATCCATGTTGTCCATGAATTTGTAGCTTATCCTTTTTATTATTGAATGTTTTTTTATATAATTATAACACTGTTTATTAATCAGTCAAAGGACATCTGGATTGTTTCTTGTTTTTGGCAAGTATGAATGAAGCTGTTGTAAATCTTCTTATATAGGAATTTGTATGAACATTCGTTTTCATTCTGTTGGGTAAATACCAAGAGGGAGAATGTCTGGTTGTGTGGCAGGTGTATGTTTAACTTTATAAGAAAGTTCCAACCCGTTTTCCAAAGTGGCTCAGACATCCTGCATCCTCACCAGCAAGATACGAGGGCTCCGGTTGCTCTGCTGTCAGAGGCACTTGGTATTGCAAGGCTTTTTTGTTTGCTTGTTTTTAGCCATTCTAATAGATGTACATTCTCCTAATGAATAATTATGTTGAGCATATTTTAGTGTGTGTATTTGCCATCCATTTTATCTTCTTGGAGAAATGGCTATTCAGGTCTTTGCCCATATTTAAAATAGGGTGTTTATTGTCCTACTATTTTTTTTAACTTTTATTTAATGAATATAGATTTCTAAAGTACAGCTTGTGGATTACATTGGCTTCCCCCCCACCCCGATGACTTCTCTCCCACCCGCAACCCTCCCCTTTCCCGCTCTCTCTCTCCTTCCATTCATATCAAGATTCATTTTCAATTTTCTATATAAACAGAAGATCAGTTTAGTATACATTAAGTAAAGCTTTCAACAGTTTGCACCCCCATAGAAACACAAAGTGAAAAATACTGTTTGAGTACTTGTTATAGCGTTAAATCTCAATGTACAGCACATTAAGGACAGAGATCCTACATGAGGAATAAATGCACAGTGACTCCTGTTGTTGACTTTACAAATTGACACTCCTGTTTATGGCATCAGTAATCTCCCTATGCTCCAGTCATGAGTTTCCAAGGCTATGGAAGCCTTTTGAGTTCACCGACTCTTATCGTATTTAGACAAGGTCATAGTCAAAGTGGAAGTTCTCTCCTCCCTTCAGAGAAAGGTACCTCCTTCTTTTTTTTTTTAACTTTTTATTTATTTATTTATTTATTTTTGACAGGCAGAGTGGACAGTGAGAGAGAGAGACAGAGAGAAAGGTCTTCCTTTGCCGTTGGTTCACCCTCCAATGGCCGCCGCGGCCGGCGCACTGTGGCTGGTGCATCGCGCTGATCCAATGGCAGGAGCCAGGTGCTTATCCTGGTCTCCCATGGGGTGCAGGGCCCAAGCACTTGGGCCATCCTCCACTGCACTCCCTGGCCACAGCAGAGAGCTGGCCTGGAAGAGGGGCAACTGGGACAGAATCCAGCGCCCCGACCGGGACTAGAACCTGGTGTGCCGGCGCTGCAAGGCGGAGGATTAGCCTAGTGAGCCACGGCGCCGGCCGGTACCTCCTTCTTTGAAGACCTGTTCTTTCCACTGGGATCTCACTCACAGAGATCTTTCATTTAGGTCCTTTTTTTTTTTTTTGCCAGAGTGTCTTGGCTTTCCATGCCTGAAATACTCTCATGGGCTTTTCAGCCGGATCTGAATGCCTTTAGGGCTGATTCTGAGGCCAGAGTGCTGTTTAGGACATCCGCCATTCTATGAGTCTGCTGTGTATCTCACTTCCCATGTTGGATCACTCTCTCCTTTATTTATTCTATCGGTTAGTATTAGCAGGCACTAGACTTGTTTATGTGATCCCTTTGACTCTTAGTCCTTTCATTATGATCAACTGTGAACAGATATTGATCACTTGATATTGTCCTACTATTAAATTTTGAGTATTCATTATATATTCTGAATACAAGCACTCTCAGGTATGTGATTTACAGATTTTTTTCTTGGTTCTGAGGACAGGAATACAAAGAGACCCTGGGCTCAGCAAGTTGAGTAGGGTGGGAGAATGTATTGAACACCTGTGATGCGTTAGTTTTTTACACACAAACATCCTAGTCTTGTTTAATACTGACAAAAGCCCTGTAAAATGAACAGTATTACCCTTAATTTATAGTGAAGGTGGGGCTGAGAAGTAAAATAATCCATGCTAGGTCAGTAATTTCTTAGCTGGTAACAGCCAGGTTGGAACCACAGAGTGAGTGCATCATTCTAAAACCCACCTGTTTGCTGACATAATGTATTGTTTGGTTTAAAAAAAATCTAAAGGGCTACATGTAGGGAGTTGGGTAAGTATTTTATCCAAAAAGATTGTTTCTATGGACATAATCCTATATTTAAAGTTTTATCACTTCACTAAATTCACAAATAGAAAACAATGATGATATACTTTAAACTTAACTGTTGTTACAGTCTTTTTAAATGATATGAGATCTTATACTGTGACATATTTCAAATTGTATACAATAAATTTTGAGATACTAATAAATTCTGTCATCTACTTCCTTTTCAAGCTCCCTGAAAAATTGCTATTTTCACAAGGTTGTAATTGGATTCAGCAATACAGTTTTGGTCCTGAGAAGTATACAGGTTCAAATGTGTTTGGGAAATTACGCAAATGTGTGGAATTATTGAAAACTCAGGTGAGTATACAGGAAAAAAAAGACTAGAAATAAAAATATTCATCCCAATTGTAGCCAGTTTTGTCTAATATCAGGCATATCACTGTGTGTTAGGGAGTAAGAAATGAAAACACAAATGCTGCTTCTGGTAATTGGTGGTTTCCTCGTCTTGTTCTTTCTCCTTGCAATAAGGAATGAGTGCGGTACTTTTACCATGATGACAAGGCCCTTTACAGGGTCAGGAGGCTTCCATGGGTGGCCAGGAAACTTTAGCAGTTTCCCCAGAAAAAATGTAGTACAAGTCCCAAAAAAGTGCCCAGAAATGCCCTTCTGGAATGCACACTATCAATTACTTGGGAGTGACATAGATTTAATAATTTAATTTAGAGCTCTTCTTGCCTGTGATTAGTGACACAGATTTGGTGATTGGAATGGGCCCTGAGCCCACACTTACTGGCTGGGTTACCTGGGCACTACCTTACCTTTGTTGGGCTGTAGATTTTTTTTACCTGTAAAAGAGAAGTATGACTAGTATATACTCTGCACAGTTCTTGTGAGTACTGTATGCATTAATATACATAGAGGGGCCTGGTGCACAGTGGATATTAAAGAATGTGAGCACTGTTCACTGGACTGGCCTTTGTAGAACCTGACTGTCCTAAGCCATTTTAGAAATCTGAATTGCTTAATGCTTTACCTAGTAGGGGGTGGGTTTTTTTTAAAGTATTTTATTTAAACTAGTTGTTACTAGGTAGTAAATATTCTTAGTAAGTAAATATTCTTAGGTAGCCCAGGCTACTGTAACAAAAGACTACAAACTGGATGACTTAAATAATGATTTATTTTTCATGTTGTGAAGGTCACAAGTCTGAGACCAGGGTGCCAGCCAAGTAGGGTTTTTGTGAGGGCTCTCTTCCTGGTTTACAGACAGCTGCCTTCTTGCTGTGTCTTCACATGGCAGAAAGAACTAGGTGCTTCTATGGCCTCTTCTCGCAAGGATACCAATGCTATTGATAAGGGCTCCACCCTCATGACCTCATCACTTCCCAAAGACCCCCTACCTCCTAATGCCATCACCTTGGGATTTAGGTTTCAAGTTATGAATTTTGGGGGACACAAACATTTGTTGCATTGCCATATACTTACAGTTATATATGTGCCAAGTAATATAAAATGAAAGGCTTCAGTTCCACTCTTCATTTATTAATCTCTGGCTTAATTCATGAACACTTTAAAAATTATGCTATAATGTATATATTCACCTTTATCCTTCTAAATTTCACTTCTACCTCTGTTTTCAGTGGACTGAATTTAGTGAAATTAAAGATTATCACAAGAGAGGAAGTATGTGCAATGTCCTTTTCTCTGATGCCATTCTGGAATATAAACTGTATGAAGCTTTGAAGTTCATCATGCTGTACCAAGTCACTGAGGTGTATGAACAAATGAAGACTAACAAGGTCATTCCCAGTCTTTTTAGACTGCTGTTTTCCAGGGAGACTTCATCTGACCCTTTGAGCTTCATGATGAATCATCTGAATTCTGTAGGTGACACGTGTGGCCTAGAGCAGGTAAGTGGGTCAGAAGAACCTGGTGGTTTTGACTAAGGGTGATACTGACAGTGTTTGAACACTCAGGGGTTTCCTTTTTAGTGGTGATAAAACCCATTGTGTTTGATGCACTGTATCTCATATAGATGTGCTTGGGTTCCAGTCCTGGCTCTGCTCCTGATTTCAGTTTCCTGCTAATACAGACCTTGGGAAGCAGCAGTGATGGCCCATGTAGTGGGGTCTGTGCAGGAGACCTGGGTTGAGTTCCCAGTTTCTGGGTTTGGTCCTCACCCTAGGACCATTGCAAGCATTTGAGGAGTGAACCAGTGAGGAGGAGCTGCCTCTCAAATAAATAAAATAATGATAACAATAGACCAGTTCTATTAAAAAAAATTTGAAAAACAAAACCAGCTGCACAGAGGTGGTTCTCATTTCAATTGCTCTGAAAGGCAGGAAAGAAGAGCGAGAAGACTCCCTGCTCTGAGCTGGTGGCCCTGTCTCTGCCCACCTGTGGCTGGAAGGCATGAGTCCTAGAGCCTCTGACCCATGGACTGCTTCGCAGAACGGAACAGGTTCTGGGAAGAGGTTAGCTGGGAAAAGTCCATTCAGAAAAGGAGAAAACTGTGGGAAAGCACTTGGTTACCTATTGCAAATAGAGATGAGGAAAAGGCACAGGTCTCAGAACCAGCCCCCTGGATAAGGGTTTCTGCTTTGTGTGGGTTTGCTTTTGCAGAAGGTGAACAAAATTATGTGACATTTTTACACAAAGTGATTTAAAATGATAGAAAACTGGTTGGAAAGCAGTGCAGCATTTAATTGTGAGCATTCCTTTCTCTGTCATCATTTGTATTTTTGTCAAATGGCTTTTTCCTGTGATTTCTTGGCGTTAGGCTAGGGAGATGTTCCTACGCTTCACCCTTCCTTGCACACAATGGACATTTTTTCCTGCCTCTGCCCACTTGGTTGTTTATGGGTGGGTCTGTGAACAAGTCGATTATTTCATGAGCTATAGAACAAGAGCCCCCCTGCGGTGGGAGGCAGGAATTTGAACTTCTATCAGTGACCTCCCTCTCCTCTTGTCCCCAGATTGACATGTTTGTACTTGGATACTCCCTCGAAGTCAAGATAAAAGTGTTCAGACTGTTCAAGTTCAGCTCCAGAGACTTTGCAATCTACTACCCAGAGGAGCCTCTCAGGGAGTGGCCCGAGATCTCCCTGCTGACTGAGAACGACCGCCACTACCACATTCCTGTCTTTTAAGTCTGGCTCTCACTGGTGACAGTGGGCTCACTTGCAAGTGAAATATTCCTGAGAAACCAAAGCTTGAGTTGTAGCAGCAGCAGGAGTTGCATCCTTTTCTCTGGAATTGCAGGTATTCAGGAGGGAGCAAGGCACACGTGTTTTTTTTTTCTTTCTCTCTCGGTGATCTCCAAAGCAGCCTCACTGGGATATTTGGGGGTTTGTGGTTTGACCTTGGGGTCGGGTCTCTTCATCCAATGCCAGGCCTTTAAGAGCACACGAAAGTTTAATACGGACAAGAACAGAAAAAAGAAAGCAAGTAGGGAAAAACCACTCACCTGGAAAGAATGTCTTTATGTTTAACTTTTCCATCATTCTTTAAGAATTTCGTCTTGAACTGGTCTTGAATTGTCATAAACATGGCTTTATTTTATAAGCATTACTTTCCCAGGATCTTGTTTTATATTAATTTTCTAGAATCACCTGACTGACTTTAAAATTATGTATATATTTGTATGTGTATAAAAATATGGTTATGTAGGCAAACGTGTACATGCAGAGTTTTGTGTATATATATATATCTAGATACTCATAAATAATCACTACTTCCTGATATTATATAGTTTGATCTATATCTCTACATTTTTGTTACTGTTTATTGGATCAGCTTAATATGCTCTACTTTGATAAAAATGATAAATTCTATAGGTTGAGGCACGTGAATGACAATTATTAAACTATCACAAGATATTAAACTCTGATGTATTTAATGTATGATTACATGTGTATTTAATGTGTGAAATCTCATTGTAGTAGGCACGATAATATTCCCCCCAATATGTCTGCATTCCTAATCCCAGACACTGTGAATATGTCAGATTAAATGGCAAAGGAGAGTTAAGGTTGTGGGTAGAACTACAGTATTAATCTGCTTACCTTGGAAGAGGGAACTGCTTCTGGATTCTTCAGGTAGGCCCTGTGTCTTCAGAAATGTTCTTAAAAGTGGAAAAGAGAATCAGAAGAGTCAGAAGGAAGTGTGAAATACTGACGAACAGTCAGAGAGAAAGGCACTATTGCTGGCTTTCAAGACAGAAAAAGGGGCCAGAGATCAAGACAGAGAAACTGAATATCTGCTACTGTCTTCTGAGGGATTACAGCTGGGTCCACACACTGACTTCTGTGCAGTGAAATCCAGGTCAAACCTACAGAACGATGAGATAACAGGTTTGTGTTTAAGCTGCTGAGTTTGTGGTCATGTGTTACAGTAGCAACTGAAAACTTATTTTCTTGGGCTGATTAAGTTTTGGTCTCTTTATTTTAGAAACACTTTTCTAGTTTATATTAGTAATCTTTATTTTGGAGATTTGCTAGCATTTTGAGTTTCAATATGGCCGGCGCCGTGGCTCAATAGGCTAATCCTCCGCCTTGCGGTGCCGGCACACTGGGTTCTAGTCCCGGTTGGGGCACCGGATTCTTTCCCGGTTGCCCCTCTTCCAGGCCAGCTCTCTGCTGTGGCCAGGGAAGGCAGTGGAGGATGGCCCAAGTCCTTGGGCCCTGCACCCCATGGGAGACCAGGAGAAGCACCTGACTCCTGCCTTCAGATCAGCGCGGTGCGTCAGCCGCAGCGGCCATTGGAGGTGAACCAACGGCAAAAGGAAGACCTTTCTCTCTGTCTCTCTCTCTCACTGTCCACTCTGCCTGTCAAAAAAAAAAGTTTCAATAAATATAAAATAATTTTTAAAATCTTGCTAATAGCCAGCGCCGTGGCTTACTAGGCTAATCCTCCGCCTGCGGTGCTGGCACGCCGGGTTCTGGTCCTGGTCGGGGTGCCGGATTCTGTCCTGGTTGCTCCTCTTCCAGTCCAGCTCTCTGCTGTGGCCTGGGAGTGCAGTGGAGGATGGCCCAAGTGCTTGGGCCCTGCACCCGCATGGTAGACCAGGAGGAAGCACCTGGCTCCTGGCTCGGATTTGCACAGCACGCAAGCCTTAGCGGCCATTTGGGGGGTGAACCAACGGAAAAAGGAAGACCTTTCTCTCTCTCTCTCTCTCTCTCTCTCTCTCTCTTACTGTCTAACTCTGCTTGTCCAAAAAAAAAAAATCTTGCAAATAATGTGTCACTTTAGGGCCACAAATCTTTTTTATTTAGAAAAATATTTATTTGAAAGGTAGAATGACAGGGAGAGAAAGAGTGAGATCTTCCATCAACTGATTTATTCCCCAAATGGCTATAATAGCAGGTTTGGGCCAGGCTGAAGCCAGGAGCCAAGAACTGTATCCTGATCTTCCAAATGGTTGACAGGGCCACAAGTACTTTGGTGTCTTCTTCTGCCTTCCCAGGTGCACTAGTAGGAAGCTGAAATGGAAGCAGAGGAGTTGGGACTTGAACAAGTGCTCCAACCTGCCATGCACCCCAATTCTTGGTCCAACCTGCTTCACCATGATTTGGGCCCTGCGAATTCTTTTGAAAGGGTGACTTATTTAATAATATGTTTGGTGCTAACATTTTCTCACAACAAATAAAAAAGGTGTGTTTTAAGGGCCCTGTTGTGGCGTAGCAAGTTAAGCCACTGCCTGGGATGCTGATGTCCCATATGGGTGCTGGTTCGTGTCCCGGCTACACTACTCCCAATCTAGTTCCCTTCTAATGTGCCTGGGAAAGCAGTGGAAGTACTTGTGCCCCTGTAGCCACATGGGAGACCTGGAAGAAGCTCCTGGCTTTTGCCTGGCTCAGCCGTGGGCTGCTGTGACCATTTGTGGAATAAACCAATGGATGGAAGATCTCATTGTCTGTCTTTCTGTCTCTCTTTCCGCCTTTCAAATACATAAATAAACCTTTAAGAAGAGAGGTGTTTCAAATGCTATGGTATATGCATTTAACACACAATTTTTTAAAGATTTTATTGGAAAGAAAGAGAGAGAGTGCACGCACACACAAGTTTTCATCTGCTGGTTCACTGGCCAAATGGCTTCGCCAGGGCTGTATCAGACTGGAGCCAGGAGCTTGGAGCTCCATTTTGCAATGGGGACAGTCAGTACTACCTAAGCCAGATGTCCACTGTCATTTTCTAGTTGAAGATTAATCAGCTCAAATCAAATGCATCACCTTGATAGCCACCCTCAACCAGAGTTCTAAATTGACCTCAGAAGCCCCTTGCTGCTTGAAATTTCTATGGTATTGCATAACCATTGGCACTTAGTTGAAATTGTTAGATGTTACCCTGTTGATATTTTACTGTGGCCAAAAAAGCATCAACTCTACCCTTTTTGTTCACTAGTAGACATGGTGACAACCGGCCCCAGGCTGCTGTGACTAATATTTAAAGACTTCTTCTCCAAACTTCTGGCTCCATTTGAGTTGTTCATGTACCTACCTGTCCACGTACCTACCATTTGCCTGGATCTCCTTACCCAATGTAATTATTTCCACATCAACTCAGGACTGAAAGGAAAACTTTCACAAGGCCTGGCAGCCCATAGCCCTGGGACGTCAGCATCCCAGGCAGTGGCTTAACTTGCTACGCCACAGCAGGGCCCTTAAAACACACCTTTTTTATTTGTTGTGAGAAAATGTTAGCACCAAACATATTATTAACCTGTGTGTTGGAGGGCGGGGTGCGGTGGAGCAAGAATTCTTTTTTTTTTTTTTTTTTTTTTCTGACAGGCAAAGTGGACAGTGAGAGAGAGAGACAGAGAGAAAGGTCTTCCTTTTGCCGTTGGTTCACCCTCCAATGGCCGCCGCGGCCGGCACGCTGTGGCGAGGCACTGCGCTGATCTGAAGGCAGGAGCCAGGTGCTTCTTCTGGCCTCCAATGGGGTGCAGGGCCCAAGGACTTGGGCCATCCTCCACTGCCTTCCCTGGCCACAGCAGAGAGCTGGCCTGGAAGAGGGGCAACCGGGAAAGAATCCGGCGCCCCAACCGGGACTAGAACCCGGTGTGCCAGCGCCGCTAGGTGGAGGATTAGCCTATTGAGCCACGGTGCCGATCTGCAAGAATTCTTTAAATAGAATTTTGTCAAGACCAAATTCTGGAAAATATTTCAATATAGTGAAAGCAAAAAGAAGACATTTAAATAGTTGCTATATTTTGGGAAAACATCTAAACAAGAATTTTTAGGGTGAAGATATTGAGAAATTTTATTTTGTTTTTATATAGTTGTGTAATGAATATAAGTAGTCAAAAGGAGCTTAGATAAATTAACACATTTAAATGCCAATAATGATTTGAAGATACTGACATTTAAAAATATATATTTTTAAAAAGATTTATTTATTTGAAAGGCAGAGAGAGAGAGAGAGAGAGAGAATGAATCTGTCTTCTGGTTCACCCTCCAAATGGCTGCAACAGCCAGGGTTGGGCCAGGCCACAGCTGGGAGCCAGGAACTCCATCTTGGTCTCCCACATGGGTGGCAGGAGCTCAGGCACTTGGGTCATCTTCTCCTGCCTTCCCGGGCACATTAGCCATAAACTGTGATACAAACTGGTACTCCAGTATGAGATGCTCACCATAATGCAGGCCCCAGTTTTTAAAACATATTTATTATTTAAAAGCTCTTTCTAACTTACAGGTTTTTAAAAAATATTTAGTTTTTGTTTATTTGCAAGGCAGAATTATAGAGAGAAAGTGAAAGAGAAATCTCTTCCATCCACTGGTTCACTCTCAAAATGGCTGGAAGCCAGAAACCTCGAGGCTTTTCTGGGTCTTCCACGTGGGTGCAGGGTCCCAAGCAGTGAGTCACCTTCTGCTGCTTGAGCTGCGTTAGAAGTGGAGCCGCCAGTGCTCAAACCAGCACCCATATGGGATGCCTAACCCACAAAGCCACAGTGTTGACCCTTAACTTACAGGTTTTAAACAAGGGAGCTAGAGCAAAAAGGAAAACATAATGCCCTTTGTCCTTTGCTTATTTTACTCTAAAAAGTATCTCTCTCAAGTTTTGACCATATGTGTTCCTACTAGAGGTGTATGAGTATTAGTTAAAGACATGTTTTTATCATGGTGATACACGTACAATGTGGAGCTTATCATTTTAACCATTTGTAAGTGTACAGTGCAGTGGATCACTCACATTGTGCAGCCATAACTACCACCCATCCTCAGACCATTCTTCAAGACTGGCTTCACTGGAGCCAGCTCCCTTCCTGGTACTTCAATTTCTTTTATTTTCACACTGCCTTTCTTTTAAATCATACCCTTTGAATATGACTATTTCCTCTCTGCTTGAAAGAGAAGTCCAGTATGAAAGAGGTCTAGGTGATTAAATGAATCCAACAACTCATAGATTACTTCATCTCCTGAAAAGAGCAATATTGTGAGTGGCTTGTGAGTTCTAATCATGAACACACATCTGAAAAGTTCCTAAGAAACTGTTAAGTCAGGGTCACTCTGGTGACTTAAATTTCTTGGATATGAGTCTTCATGGTCTTGAATCAAAGATGTTTCCACCCAAAGGGGAGTCAGGTGACAGTCCCAAGGTCTACTCTAGGGCATGACAGACTGCCTGGACGGGCTGTCTCTCTTTTTTTTTTTGACAGGCAGTTAGAGAGAGAGACAGAGAAAGGTCTTCCTTTTCCGTTGGTTCACCCCCCAATGGTGCTGCGCCGATCCGAAGCCAGAAGCCAGGTGCTTCCTCCTGGTCTCCCATGTGGGTGCAGGGCCCAAGCACTTGGGCCATCCTCCACTGCACTCCCGGGCCACAGCAGAGAGCTGGACTGGAAGAGGAGCAACTGGGACAGAATCCGGCGCCCCGACCAGACTAGAGCCCCAGGTGCTGGCGCCGCAGGTGGAGGATTAGCCAATTGAGCCGAGGCGCCGGGCTGGACGGGCTGTCTCTAAAAGAGAAAGGCAGCCCAGATCAAGAGGCGTTTATGTTCATTTTTCAGGACTTCTCCTGCAATGGATTTTGAATGGAAATGTTTGTTATTGTTCTCAGCCAGTTGATTTTCTCCTTAGTGAGATCCAAGAGATAATTTTAATTCCGTCTAAGATGGTGTTGGGGAGGAAAAAAAAATCTGACCTTTCAGAATATGCTAAATGTGGCAGGAAGTCCACATCAAAGAAGGTAAGTGTTTTTTTTTTTTTTTTTTTTTTGGACAGGCAGAGTGGACAGTGAGAGAGACAGAGAGAAAGGTCTTCCTTTGCCGTTGGTTCACCCTCCAATGGCCGCTGCGGCCGGTGCACCGCGCTGATCCGATGGCAGGAGCCAGGAGCCAGTTGCTTTTCCTGGTCTCCCATGGGGTGCAGGGCCCAAGCACCTGGGCCATCCTCCACTGCACTCCCTGGCCACAGCAGAGAGCTGGCCTGGAAGAGGGGCAACCGGGACAGAATCCGGTGCCCCGACCGGGACTAGAACCCGGTGTGCCGGCGCCGCTAGGCAGAGGATTAGCCTAGTGAGCCTTGGCGCCGGCCGAAGGTAAGTGTTTTTAATTGATACACTAATCCAGTGGGTGGAAATCCATGGATATATGAATAAAGGGATGTCTGATTCAGAAAGCATCAGTTTTCTTTTAAGTAACAAGTTCTTGGAGCTGAATGATTCTCTTTACAAGAACATATTTCATGCTACTTAACAAGACTAATTACTGTGTAATCTTTAAATATATATATACATATAAAATACATGTTTTTCATGAATCTAAAATTTTAACCATTTATAAGGTTGTTTATGATAGTTGAATATTGTTTACCTTACAAATACTATTCATTGTATTTAGGTATACTTTATAGCTATTTATTTGGAGTTTTCATTCGTTTTAATTGACAAATAATAGAGCCACTCACGTCCTTCAGATCCCTTTTTTATCACAAATCCCGATTTTATCTAGACACAAAGTCAAGTGGGTCTGAATTGTGCAATCACTTTTATGTTATTTGTTCAAAATTGGATCTTCCTTTAATTTGTGTTTGTTTTAATTCTGTCATACTCCTTTAGGCCAAAAATACAGGCACTCATCTGGCTCGTCTTGATGCTCAGTGTCCACATGATTTATAAGTGACTGGAGAAAGCCCTCACTCCTACCCTCAGCCACATTGGCCACAAGCGTGCAGCGCACCCTCGGATGGGCCACACGGGACACTCTTGGGATGTGTGTGAGGAGGCCTGAGCTCTGTGGGAGCAGTGGCTCCAGAGCCAGTGAGGACAGGTCCTGGATGAGTGGCCTCCATGTGGAATGGAAAGGTGACCTTCCTAGCTGGCGTCCCTGGGAAAGTGCCCTCCCCTGTATAAAAATCACATTTCTGTGTAGAATTCTTCTGGTTCTGATAGTCACTATCCTCAGGTCTTAGATTGCTACTGAAATCATTTTGCTGCCGCCAGTGAGAGTCACTCACTTATTCATGATGGTTCTTGGCAAATTTAGGCTAGAAGGTTTCTTTAAGTAAAAAAGAGCTTGCTCTGAGTACTTCATTTTAGTCTAGATGGGTTGTAAAACTCTTTTCAAGGGGCCTGCATTGTGATGTAGCAGGTTAAGCTGCCACGTGTGACACAGGCATTGCAGTGGGAGCTGAGGAGAAGCCCTTGGCTTCCAGCTTCAGCCTGGTCCATGCCTGGCTGTTGTGGCCATTTGGGGAATGAATCAGTGGATGAAAGATGAATCTCTTGCTCTCTGCCTGCCCTCCCCACCCCACATACTGACCCCCCCCCCATAACTCTGGCTTTCAAATAAATAAAATGTTAGGAAAAAAACCTCTTATTTCTGCCCAAGTAGTTTATTTAAAACAGGAACCTCCTTCAATAAGCATTCCTGAAGTATGGAAATCTTTTTCCCTATAGAAATAGCCTATTGGTATGCAAAGATCATCCTCTTGTTCCTAATTTATAAAGTCTCAGATGGAAGAGAGTGCTGAAGTTAAGTATCAGCATAGCATCTTATGATTTCGTTTCACTCACAAGTTTGAAAAGGTGGAATGAGGTACAACTCTGACACTGGAATGCTCTATGGGCAGTAGATGACTTTACTGCACTGGGACTTACTGCACATCAACAAGTGAGTTAGATTAAACACAAAAATCTTGGACTCTGTCCCCATTTCTTGTCATTGCTGCCATCCCCAAAGATGAGATCTGTGCACAACTTGGGAACTAGTTCCAGTGTGTGTCAAGTCCAGGCTCTGTCCAGAGCTTCGCCTGCACAGGGACCTCCTCTGGGTACTGACTTTTCTATTCAACTGAGAGCTTGGTGGAAGGGCCCCAGGGGGAATGAGGAGAGGCATCTGCTGCAAACTGACTCCAGATATGGGTGCATAGGGAAAAGCTGCTTGAGTGTTCTGGAAGAGTCTGTATGATGTGATTATAACTCCTTCAGAATAAAAAAGGAACACAGATGATGGGATGGCCTGGTTTGTTGTTGATACTATATTATTGATATTATTGTGGGTAAATTATGAAGAGCCAATGCATCTCCCTCATTGGAAGCTGCCTTTAGCTTTAGTTAACACACTGTATTGCTGAGGAGAAAAACTCATTGCTGGTGTATATTTGATCCATGTGTCATGTGTCTGTCAGCAAATGGTAAATGAGCCAATTTTTTTTTTTGGTAATAATGAAATGCTTAAATCTGCTTGAGAGACAATTTATTTTAATAATTGCATTGTTGGCTGCCTCTTCTGTGTGTCTATAAGGGCAAGGAGTTGGAAAGATACTCTGTGTACAGGAAAAGGAAAAGCTACATGATTTTCTTTTTAAAGCAGGAAGTAAAATTTTTCCTCTTGAAAATTATAGTAAACCAGTAGTTTTATAACTACCCATTGGGAAGGATCAATTTTTAAAATTTGTAATCCTTTGCTGATTAGCACTTTGGTAAATATTAAAAAAAAAAGTGTTGTGCTGAGATCAGACTGCTAGGAATGTTTCCACACTCTCACACTTCTGTACTTCATCTTGCAGATGCATAGAAAAGATCTCAAAAGGTGACCTAAGTGTATCCACCATACTTTAGTAATACTGAAATATGAGTTTGGGGCAAAAATCAACAGGTTCTGATGTGGTTTATCTGGCTGATTAGGATTTGTCTGCAGTGGGAGGTCAGGGGGTTAGGTTAGGTATTTGTGGCTTTTGTTATTGTTATTTGCTATTATTAGTCCAAGCAAAGTCACTATGTGGAGTGCTGCAGTGTGTAACTTGCTCAGAGACAGCTGACTAAGGAGGCAAATGGGGTCTGAGATCTCCTCTCCAAGCCACAGACCCCTTGATGGAGGGAACAGCTGTCACCTGCCCAGAAGTGACTGAATCTGAGATTCAGTCTACTGACCAAGCCCTGTGCCAGTGGGGTCATCTTTTACTAATTTGCATAATTGCCTGTTCGGTAGGAACTCCCAGGATCTGCCTTCACATTGTTCTACTACCAGGGTGCAAATCTGCAGTAAGACTTTAGAAAAGACATTCATAGGTTTGTTTGTTTTTTTTTTTCAAGATTTATTTATTTATTTGAAAGTCAGATTTACAGAGTGAGAGGGAAAGACAGAGATTTATATCTGGAGCACTGGCCAGGGCTGGGCCAGCCAGAAGCCAGCAGCTTCATTGAGGTCTCCCATGTAGGCGGTAAGGGCTCAAACACTGGAGCCATCTTCTACTGCTTTCCCAAGCACATTAGCAGTAAGCTGGATTGGAAGTAGAGCAGCCAAGACACTAACCGGCACCCATATGGGATGTCACTGTTGTAGGCAGAAGTTTTACCTGCTCTGCCACAATACCGGCCTGACATTTGTAGGTTTTTTACAGTCCCTCAGAAGTCGTCAGGAACCTCAATTGGATTTCATTAACTTTTTGCTTAAGAAAACACGTCATCACATTTTCTTTCTTTACTGAACTCGAAGAGATGTGGGTCTTCTATAACTGTGACTAGAACCGTTTACCTATAAATGGAAAAGACATTTCAAATTGCAAGTTGATGAGAGCCAAACTCAACTGTTTCCTTTTTTAAGATTTTATTTATTTATTTATTTATTTGAGAGAGAGAGAGAGAGAGAGAATCTTCCATCCACTGGTTCACTCTTCAAATGGCCACAATGGGCAGAGCTGAGCCGATCCGAAGTCAGGAGCCAGAAGCTTCTTCTGGGTCTCTCATATAGGCGCAGCATCCTAAGGACTTGGGCCTCTTCTACTGCTTTCCCAGGCACATTTTCAGGGAGCTGGATCGGAAGTGGAGCATCTGGGACATAAACCAGAGCACACATGGGATGATGGCACTGCAGGCTGATGGTTTAACCTGCTATGCCACAGTGCTGGCCCCGCTCAGCTGCTTCTTAAAGAGGCAAAGAATCTAACAATGTGATTAATTCCCCCTGAAATTTATTTTTATATAATTTTTAAAATTTTATTTTTGTTTTCATTTGAAAGGCAGAGAAACAGACGGACAGGCAGATGTCCATCTTGCATCATTTGGTTCACTCTCGAGAAGCCCACAATAGCAGCAGCTGGGCTAAGTTGAAGCCAGGAATCTAGAACTCACTTGGTGTCTCCCATGTGGGCACGCGGGCAGCAGGCACCCAATTACTTAGATCATCACCACTGCCTCTCACCATGTGCACTGGCTGGAATTGGAATCTGAGCAGAGACTTGAACCCAGGCACTCTGATATAGCATGGGGACATCTAAAGCGACATCTTAACCACTGTGCAAATGTCCACCCCTGGAGTTCTTTCTACTGGTCCAGGACTTGAAGAGCAACTTTTTAGATGTACTCCTGGGGAAGAGGAGCTTCTGACATGTTCCCGTCTCTGGTGCTATGGAAGGGCCTCAAGAAGTCAAACCAAATTTTGCTAACATTGAATGCCTAGTGAGGTTAAAATTAATCAGGGCCATTGAGTTTACTCAGAAATAGGTTCTATGAATATGACTCAGAAGAGAATATTACTTAGTGGGGCACAGACTCTGAAAAACAGGCATAACCTTATGTCCTGAGAATACATGTGCCACATTCCCTTGCCTATAGAGAAAGCCTAACTCGACCTGTCAGCTGCCCTGACCAAGCTCTGTGGCACCTCCACATAGGCTCCAGGTTGAAGATGCAATGACTGGTAAGGTTGGTGTGGCAGATAGAAAGCAGGAGGCCTGGACACAGCATCATCAGCAGGGCTATGGCAGGGCACTTTAGTGTATCCAGATAGCAATCAATTGGAAGCACAGTAGAACATGGCCAAGGTGTACAGCTAAAATGAGGGCCATAGGAGCTTATCACCAACACAGAGCAAAGCATCTTTCAGTGGCAAAGGAGATAAGAGGGAGTTTTGAACTACAGGTGACTTTGCCAGGTCTCTATCAACCCAGACCCATCCATCATCTATTGGTTCTCCAACAGTCTCGATATTCAATGAAAGACAAACACTGCTGGCCTGGCCATTGCAGGCCTTGTAAATGGTGTGGCTGAAGAGGAGGCCCACATTAAATGCCTACACTAAGATCTTTGAGCAGATTCATGAATTCCAATTCTGTGCGTGTTTTTGTTGTGAATGACAAATGTTGATGAGCTTAAAATTTTTTTTGTGACTAGAAGGAAATATTGCCTGAGTCCTAGGTCAGTCTTGCTAAATACGCAAGAAATATGTGCTTCTAACATACTGTGTGGTCTGCTGAAGCACTTTTGATTGTCGAGTGGGAGGGAGAACCCTACTGACTGCCAGGGCAGGAAACAGCCAATCTTCACTGGAAATTACCTGGGACTTAACAAAATCAAGAATTTAGGTTACAGGCCGGCACCGCAGCTCACCAGGCTAATCCTCCGCCTTGCGGTGCCGGCACACCAGGTTCTAGTCCCGGTCGGGGCACCGGATTCTGTCCCGGTTGCCCCTCTTCCAGGCCAGCTCTCTGCTGTGGCCAGGGAGTGCAGTGGAGGATGGCCCAAGTGCTTGGGCCCTGCACCCCATGGGAGACCAGGATAAGTACCTGGCTCCTGCCATCGGATCAGCGTGGTGCGCCGGCCGCAGCACGCCGGCCACAGCACACCGGCTGTGGCGGCCATTGTTGGGTGAACCAACGGCGAAGGAAGACCTTTCTCTCTGTCTCTCTCTCTCACTGTCCACTCTGCCTGTCAAAAAATAAAAAAAAAATAAATAAATAAAAGAATTTAGGTTACAGTCCACGAAGAGGCTGAGGACTACTCTGTCTCATGCCATACATTGTCCTTCTTCTCTCATCCTTTCTCTGCCTCTGTTTTTCTCTACCCCTATCCACAACTTTCTTGCCTGGCAGGTAATGGTGCTGCTACTTCCTAGTGTAAAGAGTTGCATCTTACTTCTCTAGGTCAAAATCTTGAGCTGTAGAATCTGATTGGGTCAGCCAGCCTATGACCTTTGAACCGTATGCCCATCTCTGTACAAGTCATCTGTAGCCAGGGTGTGGGATGGGAGGCAGACACAAGCAGGACCATGCCTCAAACCAAGTCTGATACACGTTGGGCTTTTCACAGCCCATGTACGCTCAGAGTAACTTTTCATGATAGCACAAGAACTAGTCTAGATCCACACATAATTAAAGCCAATCATCATCCAATCAGCATCTATACTGGTAGAAATGTTAATCAGTTCATTTGAGAAGAACAAAGACAAGTACCTTGTGACATGGAAGTCTTAGGGTAGCAGTCATAGAAGGTTGTCCTTATGAAGTAGTAGCCTCAATGGTTGCAGTAGAAGATGGAAAGAAAGGAAGTTACAGTTGCCCAGAATAATCCCCTTTGTGGCAGTTTTGTTGGTGGTGGTCTGCTTAAATAGCTGAAAAGATACTCATGTGCTATTTTTAAAATGCAGACAAGGGGCCAGCATTGTGGAATAGCAGGTTAAACCTCCACTTGCTACGTTGGCATCCTGTAAAGGTGCTGGTTCATGTCGTGGCTTCTCCACTTCCAGGCCAGCTCCCTGCTAATGTGCCCGGGAAAGCAATGGAGGATGACCCATGTGCTTGGGCCCCTGCATCCATGTTTGGGACTTGGAAGAAGCTCCTGGCACCTGCCTTCAGCCAGGCATTGCCCTGGCCATTGCAGCCATTTGGGGGAATAAACCAATAGATGTAAGATCTCTGTCTCAGTATCTCCCTCTCTCTCCCTCTCTCTGTTTTTCAAATAAATCTTTAAAAAAATTTTTAAAATGCAGACAAAAGCTCTAGAAGCTTTACTACAGTGTTTTGATGGAAAATGGATTACATGTCTCCTTTGTCCTTAAAACCTTATCTAAACACATTTTCAGCCACACTTTTAGCCTGCAGCTGGTTAACTCTGTTTGCAAGGCTTTCTGGCTCCAGTACTTGAACTTCATGTTGCAAACATCCGTCATTGTCAGCTTCCTCCAGGTTCCATGACGACTTCCTTAATTTGTTGTTCTCTTTGTGCCATAGCAGTGGGAAATTGGCTCTTCCACGCTTGAACATGAACACGTAGGTCAAATCTGATGACTTGAAACTTCACGCATGGAATTCCCAACAACGCTGCCATGGGCTAGTTTTATGTTTCCTGTAATGAGATTGTTTCCTCTTTGTCAATTATGGCTTCTACAGGATGTTATATTTGTTGAGGTACATGCTGGGGCCAAGAAACAAAGCAGAGTGCCCAGGCCCTCAGAAAGGTGAACCTGATGGCTTTTCTAGTTGGCTAGAATTTATTTTGTGATTTTCTGGACATTGAAATAAATAACAGCAGAGGAAAATCGTTGAAGGACTGTATAGCAGATATCAGAAAAGATAGTTTTAGGGTGGATGTTTGGTGCAGCAGTTAAGCTTCTATTTGAGATACCCACATCTCTCACCAGAGAGTACCTGGGTTTATCTCTGTTTTCCATTCCGGTTTTCTGCTAATGTGCACTCTGAGAGTCAACAAGTGATATCTCAAGTACTTGGGTCCTTGCTACCCACATGGGATACTTGGATTGAGTTCTAGGCACCTGGCTTCAGCCTGTCTCAGGGCATATTCATTCATCCAGTCATTCATTCTCTGTCTTCCAAATAAATAAACAATAATTTTTTTGACAGGCAGAGTTAGACAGTGAGAGAGACAGAGAGACAGAGAGAAAGGTCTTCCTTCCATTGGTTCACCCTCCAAATGGCCGCTATGGCTGGTGCGCTGCGCCGATCTGAAGCCAGGAGCCAGGTGCTTCCTCCTGGTATCCCATTCAGGTGCAGGGCCCAAGCACTTGGGTCATCCTCCACTGCCTTCCTGGGCCACAGCAGAGAGCTGGACTGGAAGAGGAGCAACCAGGACAGAATCTGGTGCCACGACTGGGACTAGAACCCGGAATGCCGGCGCCGCAGGTAGAGGATTAGCCAAGTGAGCAGTGGCGCTGGCCAAAAAATAATTTTTAAAATATACATAAGAAAGATGGTGTATGATTTTAAAGGGATAATCCCAATAAATCTGTTTCTGAATCAGTCTGTGTTAGAGACATTAAACTTACCTACATTTTAAAGCTTAACAGTGCAGTTAAGATAAGCCAAGTGCCTGGCAGAGATCTGCTTTTAGTTTGCTTTGTTTTCAAAATAAATGCAGAGAAAAGGAAATATTTCCTACAAGCAAGTGATGAGTAATATCTCATGCAGTGGGTAAATGTAACAAACTAACCTAGAGCTTCATTCTAATAGCCTCAGTTGCTAAGTTGAACATCTAAGTGGAAAGGTGAAAGGACATTCACAAACAGATACTGTTGATGTTGTGCCTAAGGTTATTCTAGCAAATACAGTGAAATAATTTGAAGTGGTTCCAAAGCCATTTTCTTTATTTTAAGTCTGTTATTATGTTAACAGGAGTTGGCGATAAGAACATTTTAACCAAATATAGTGTCAAATGGATGAAAAGAAAATATAAATTGGAAAGGAACCTTTCCATATAATGTTACTTAAAGAGGTTTTTAGATATAATTCAAGATGCATAATAATGAGGAAAAACCTCTTAAAAATTCCAACAATATAGGGCTAATGCTTAGTTCAGCAGTTAGGATCCTGGTGAAGAATCCCATGTCCTGCATTACAGTGTCTGGATTTGATGCCCAGCTTTGGCTCCTGACTCCTACTTCCTGCTGGTATACTGGGAGGTAGTGATGATAGCTCAAGTACTTGCCACCTAGATGGGATACCTGCATTGCAATCCTGGGTCTGGGCTTTGGTCCCAATCCAACCCTGGCTGCATTTGAGGAGTAAATCCGTGGATGGGAGATGTCTCTCTTTCTGTCTCTCATCTCTCTGTCTCCCCTGTTCCTCTCCCTTCCCCTCTCAGATAAAACTTAAAGGATTTTTTAAAAATTGTAAAAATGATTTAATGTTCCTCTGTATAGACCAAGGTCCTTATTGGATGTGTACTTAGATTATTGCAGTATTTATTACCCTTGTATCATGACAAGAACCAGGAAGTTCATTATCATCTATGTGGCAGGTTGGAAGACTGTCAAATCCCTGTATATAGAGAGAATCAAGTATCATATTGAATTATCATCTTTGTGATTAATGATTAACGCTATCTGATAACTACTTTTCTTTACAAGGACATTCTATGTCTAGGCATTTAACCATGGTTTTGGTTCTTCTATGCAATGGCAGTCAACCTACCCTTGACTTACAGTAACTGGTCTGAAACTTTAGTGGAGAGAAGATTTGATGACTCTCTTGACAAAGTCAAGCCAGGGAACTTCCATATTTTTCTTTCAATAGGACAAACTTCTAAAGTGACTTTTCAAGAGACCCAGAAAGTTCCCACCTTAGAAGTAGTGACTAAAACTAGAGGCTACTTCCCACCTACCCTTAAAAAGTTTATAAAGTAGTTATGAAAGGATCAAACCAATTTGAGTTTTCAGTAACTTAACTGCTTCCCAGAACAAGCCAGTCTCTAAAGGAAGATAGCAAAGGTCAGATGGCTGAAAGAAAAGGAAACTGAAATACTAAAGCTGCAATATTTGGCATCCCATAAAAATTTACTATGTAAGGCAAGAAGCAGGAAAATGTTTCCCATAACCGGGAGGGGAAAAAATATCAGGCAGAAGAAAAAGATCTACCAGTGGAATTAGTATACCAAGACTTTGAAATAACAGTTACAATGTGCTCAATATGTGTAAGGGTCTTCAAAATAATTTAAATTAATCAGGAGAGACATTGAATGTAGGAACCAAATAGAACTAGAGAATGAAAAATATGATATATGAAATGAAAAGTACATGGAGTAAGATTAGTTGCATCATAGACATTGTAAAAGAAAAGAGTGAACTGGATATTGTAGCAATAGAAAATATTCAAACTGAAATAAAGAAAAAAAGGATGAAGAAAGCAAATGGGGCCTCAGTGACTAGGGGATGATATCATGTGGTTTATTGATGACCAAGAAAAATATACTTGGAGTAAGGGGTACAGGAGAAAGAAGAGAACATTCCAAGAAATAAAAACTGAAAAAAATCAAATTTGATTAAAAATTTTTGAACCCATAAGTCCAACAACCTTAGGGAACTCAAAGTGGAACACAGAAAAAGGCACATTGTAACCAAATTGAAAAACAATGACAAAGAGAAAATAGTATTTTTAAATTTTACTTGTTTTCATTTTATTTAAAAGAAAGAAAAAAAAATTTAGCATATTTCCACCTGCTGGTTCACTCTCCAAATACATGCAGCAGCTGGGGCTGAGCCAAGGCAAAGCCAAAAGACTGTAGCTCAATCCTAGCCTCCTAGGATTGCAGGGACCTAAGTACTTGAGCTGCCTTTCAGGGTTCACATTAGCAAAAAAAGTGGAATTAGAAGTGTATATGGGGGGCTGGCGCTGTGGCAAAGCCAGTAAAGCTGCCGCCTGCAGTGCTGGCATCCCATATGGGTGCCAGTTCGAGTCCCCACTGCTCCAATTCCAATCCAGCTCTCTGCTATGGCCTGGGAAAGCAGTAGAAGATGGTCCAAGTGCTTGGGCCCCTGCACCTGCATGGGAGACCCAGAAGAAGCTCCTGGCTCCTGGCTTTGGATTGGCACAGCTCTGACCGTTGCGGCCAGTTGGGGAGTGAATCATTGGATGGAAGACCTCTCTCTTTCTCTCTCTCTGCCTCTTCTCTCTCTGTGTAACTCTGCCTTTCAGATAAATAAATACATCTTAAAAAAGAAGTATATCTGGGCCTCAAACTTGGGCACTCAGGGAATGCCAAGAGATGCCTTCATTGCTGCACCAAATGCCCCCACCCCGAGAAAATCTTAATATCAGCCAAAGAAAAAGGGGTGTAGCATACTGAAAAACAAAGATAAGAATGAGAACGGATTTCTTTCTAGAAATAATGCATATTAGAAATGATAGTATGGGGCTGGCGCTGTGGCGCAGCAGGTTAACACCCTGGCCTGAAGCGCCGGCATCCCATATGGGTGCCGGTTCTAGTCCTGGCTACTCTACTTCCCATCCAGCACTCTGCTATGGCCTGGGAAAGCAATATGAGGATGGCCCAAGTCCATGGGCCCCTGCACCCATGTGGGAGACATGGAAGAAGCTCCTGGCTCCTGGCTTTGGATCGGCACAGTTCCGGCCGTTGTAGCCAATTGGGGAGTGAACCATTGGATGGACGACCTCTCTCTCTCTCCCTGCCTCTCCTCTCTCTGTGTAACTCTGACTTTGAAGTAAAATAAATAAATATATATATAAAAAAAGAAACGATAGTATGGAACTTCTACATTGCTGAAAATAAAAAGAATACTGCCAACATAGAATTCTGAAGCTAGCAAAAAATGATCCTTTAAAAATTTCACGTTAGGACAAAATAAAGGCTTTTTAAAGACAAAAGCCAAGAGTTTTTGTCACCAACAGATCTGTACTATACACAATGGTAAAGGAAGTTCTTTAGACAGAAGAAAAATAAAACCAGATGGAAACTTTGGATCTATACCAAGGAATGAAGAGCATAAGAAATGATAAATCTATAGGTGTCTGTGAAAGTAATTTCATTTTAAAACTTCTCTGAAAAATGACTAAATAAAGCAAAAACAATAAATGTATGGTGGGGCTCATTACCTAGAAATAAAAAATGTGGGTCCAGTATTGTGGCACAGCAGATAAAGCTGCTGCCTGTAATTCCAGCATCCCATATGGGCACCAGTTTGTGTTGCAGCTGCTCCACTTCCAATCCAGCTCCCTGCTAATGTCCTGGGCAAAGCAGCAGAAGATGGCCCAAGTGTTTGGGCCCATGCTGCCTATGTGGGAGACCCAGATGAAGCTCCTCGTTTCTGGCTTTGGCCTGGCCATTGTGGCCATCTGGGGAGTGAACCAGCAAATTGAAGGTATTCTCTCTCTCTCTCTCGTTCAAATAAATTTTTTAAAAATTTTAGAAAAGATGTAACAATAGCATAAAGGATAGGAGGGAAAAATGGAAGTATACTGGTATAAAATAATGTTCAAATACTATTGTATAGAATAGACTTGATACGTTAAGGGTGTATATTACAACCCAAGCACAACCACTAAAAAGTAAAATGTAGATGTATATCTAACAGACCAATATCAGGAAATAAGGCAAAATGAACAGTGAACAAATAAATGGTAGATTTAATCCCAACCATGTCGTTAAATGTCAGCGATAGAAATCCTCCAGTTAAAAAGAATGAATTGTATTGTGAAGTAGAAAAAGCAGTATGCAGAGTTGTGTATGGAATTTGATTCACTTTTGATACAATATTTAGGAAGCAGAAACTAAAACCTCACCACACTTATATATCTATCTGTATAAATGTATATGTGTATGTATAAGTGTACACATACCCATATCAGAACATAGATTAGGACTAGGAATTGACATGGACAAACAAAAAGATTGATCACCTTAGGGAAAGATTGTTGTTAATTTATTCTTAGATTCTGGAACCTCAACTTACTTTCTATAACAAACTACCAGCATTTAAAGAAATGGAGATCTGAAGATACAGAAAGTTATGTCCTAAATCCCTTTGTCTAGTGTTTTATTATATTTTCTGAACCTCTAGTTTTGTGGGGGTAAAGCAAATACTCTGTGATAATTCTCCAGTGTTCCAGACCTGTTTAAAATACATTAGCATTTTAGCTGGTACTGGCACATGGCACCAGCTATTGTTGTAAAGGGTCATTAAGCATGACAAGAAGCTCCACCCAAAAGTGAGAAGTGAGTTGGTCAGGGTTCTTTGCTTGCAAGCAACAGGAACTGATTTTGACTGAAAGGAAAGGAAATTATTGGGAAAACCAGAAATGTATGTAGTCTTGGAATCCAGACTGCTTCAGAGGAGAGGAAGCAGGAAGCCCAAGAATGGCCGAATGCAATAGTAGTTTGATTTTGTTGCTCCTAGCAGCATTAATGAATTGCAGTCTTACTTCCAAACTTAAACCACTGGCTCAAATGTCAAAGTTTTGGAATAGAGCACTAGACTCATGATATGTCCATTCTCTGTATACCCAAGGGCCTACTGAGAGATGCTCAGGAAACCTTAGAATCCTGGTAGCAAGAGAGCTACTGCCTGTCAATACAGTCCCACCAAGGTTATAGGAGCACAGAGGAGGAAAGGCTATTTCCCAAAGAGAAATAAGGATTCCTTGGAATGTTGGTGGACACTGGTGCCCAAAACACATCTTTTTTGGTACTGAAAAGCAGAAGGAATTAGAGAAATGTGCAGAGTTGAGTGTTACGCCTAGAAATACAGGGTCTGCATGCAGCACCTGATCCACCTGTATCCCTGAGTCTTGGGTGCAAACTGAGAAGAGCAAGGCTTGCAAATGCTTTTTTTTTTTTTTTTTGACAGGCAGAATGGACAGTGAGAGAGAGAGACAGAGAGAAAGGTCTTCCTTTTACCGTTGGTTCACCTCCAATGGGCGCCGCGGCCGGCACACCGCGCTGATCTGAAGCCAGGAGCCAGGTGCTTCTCCTGGTCTCCCATGGGGTGCAGGGCCCAAGCACCTGGGCCATCCTCCACTGCACTCCCGGGCCACAGCAGAGGGCTGGCCTGGAAGAGGGGCAACCGGGACATAATCCAGCGACCTGGCTGGGACTAGAACCCAGTGTGCCGGCGCCGCTAGGTGAAGGATTAGCCTATTGAGCCGCAGTGCCGGCTGCAAATGCTTTTATACTATGAATGTGTGGGAGTTGAATTTATGGTCCCAAATCCATATTATAATAGACATTATGATTTGCCTTTAAAAGCTTGAAGGAAATTGACATAGTAGTGTTTGTGATAATGGCTTATTTACAAGTAATAGATGAATTTTGTAAACAAATTTCAATTTCATTTTCAGTCTCTCTTTTTGAGTGTTCTCATGATGCATGCTTACTGTTTTCTGATAGGACCCTAATACTAACCAGAAATAAATAAGTAAATAAAATTGGGAAAGAAGTTGTTGAAAATGCAATATATGTTGAGGTGAGATGAACTGGAGAAAGATAAGCCAGATTGCCAACCTCGGGAAATCATTAGAGAAGCAGATTGTTGAGATTCTGAGCACTTCCAAAGAATGGCTTCCTTTCAGACAGGCTTAGAATTCCAAAAAGTAGTAATCACTGAAGGGACAGATAAGGAAGAAACTAGAGAATTGTTATGGGGTAGAGATGGAAAGCCTTGGGTTTTTGAAACACTTGGACTCAAGATCCTGCTCCTAACTTCTCAGAATGTCAGGGGCTCCTCTGTGTGCCTCCCCACAGGACAAAAGTGCTATATGCTACTGTTGATCCTTTTATGGTAATGTACCCTGGGATGCTCATGGAAATTCTGAGTGCTTACCCAACATTAGTAAGCCAGAGCAAAGGAAGTAATTGACATTAAGAGGTCCTTTTAAATTTCATCAAATATTTTATGCTTTGTTTTTCCTGTGAAGACAACATCTGGTTTTATGTAAATCGCCAGAGGTAAGCACTCATCTGAAGCAAGCTCAAGAATGTAAGCATGAAGGATTTTAATTGAATTAATGTTAAGCCTGAGTATATCCAGGACACATGCCTTCAATTTTTTTTAAAAAGATTTATTTATTTATTTGAAAGAGTTACACTGAGAGAGGCAGAGGCAGAGAGAGAGAGGTCTTCCATCCGATGGTTCACTCTCCAATTGGCCGCAATGGCCAGAGCTGCGCCGATATGAAACCAGGAGCCAGCAGCTTCCTCCCCGTCTCCCATGTGGGTGCAGGGGTCCAAGGACTTGGGCCATCTTCTATTGCTTTCCCAAGCCATAGCAGGGAGCTAGATCAGAAGAGGAGCAGCCAGGTCTCTAATTGGTGCCCATATGAGATGCCGGTGCTTCAGGCCAGGGTGTTAACCCACTGCACCACAGCGCTGGCTCCTTGCCTTCATTTTTTAATGTCAGAATATTCTGTGCTCCCAGAATAAAATAAATTTCCCAGTAATGCAGTGTGATGACTTGATCAAGAATTCAGTAATAAAGACAACTTTCATGAATACAAGTGATGAGTTATTTCACAGATATCATCTTAGTTTGTCATGTTTGTGTAATTACAGGTTACGGATAAGGAAATGAAACTGAACGGCAAGTGATTTTTCTGTGTCTGGCACATAATAATATATTTTGTTGAATGGACTAATGAGGTGATGTATTATAAAATGTACAAATAAGGTAATCATGGCTCCGCTAACATATACAGTACTGAAAAGAAAAAAAAAATGTTGTAACAGAAATGTCACTTTTAGGTAACTTTTGCAGATCTAGGGGGCCTTTTACATGCTACCTTTGAAAGGATTGCAGTCCCCAGGAACCTGTCCATGGTGCTGAATCTGGTTTGACACAATTAAGTCAGAACGGCTGTCACAAATTGCTCTACACATCTTCTGCGCTTCTATTGCCAGTGACAGTGCTAATAATACAAAATTATTTCATCAAATATTGTTAACTTTTTAAGAATTTGAAGGAGTTTGTTTTTAAAAAATAGAAGCTTTAGTTATGAGGATATCTCAAAATTCACAGAAAATGAAATTGACAAGTGAGTTTATTGCGATGTGAAAAATTAAAACATGTAGTTTTTTAAGGTGATATTCATTTTCATGAAATTTTTGATCCAGCATAATACAAACATTAAATTCTCCTTTTAAAGACATACAACTCAGTTAGGCAGAGCCAAGATGGCGGAATAGTGAGGGTGTGCACCGATAGTCCAGGAAAATTTAGTTTAATAAAAGTGGAGTTACAGTAGCCTCAGAAAAAGGATCAGGAGAAAATTGCAGAGGAAACTCTTCCGGATCTAGTGGCTGTGACTCGGAGGACCTACTGGGAGAGCAAGGTCGCCCACTGCACGGAAGCCGAGCCGTGGGAGCCATAGGGTCTGCGCGCCAGTGCGGGAAGGGAAGTGGATGTGTGGCTCCGAGTCCACACATCGGCGCTGAAAGGGGAGGTGAGCTCAGTAACCGGAGACATTGGCGGGGAAACGACGGACAGAATCTAGAGGGAAGCAGTCTTTGAGGTGGGAAAGTTCACCAGACTGACTACAGGAGAGAAGGAAAAAAAAAAGAAAAAAAAAGGGTGGGGGGGGTACTGGTACAAACAAGTTTCTCTCTCTCCGCCAACCTTGCAAAGGCGAGTAAGAGACAAAGAGCAGGACCCACTCTAGATATACATAACAAAAGGGGAGAGCTAAGGCTACAATTCAGTAGCCTAGGCAACCCAGTGGGAGACCACAGCAGAAACTGAACCGGCACAGACTCTTTGGGTAGAAACCAGAGATCGGAAGCTAAATACCATCAATCCTGCTCAGCTGTGCGGTATTACTTACCTCCTGAATAAAAAATAAATAAATAAATAAATAGATTTACCACGTATAACCTGAGGGTGTCACCTCTGCACACCCGTAACCCAGAAGAACCAAGCAGAGCTCTCAGGCCACACCCATCTCAAGCCTCCAAGGCTCCTCCAACAGCAGACAGTCCACTTAACACAGACATAGCATAAAAAAAAAAACTCACAGTGAGGGAAGAAGAATTAACAATGCCAACGAACAAACACAAAAATTGAGGGAACAAGATCAACGATGACACTATGACACCTCCAAATAAACATAACACCCCAAGCCAAGATTATGAAGATGATAAGATAGAAGAAATGCAAGATACAGATTTCAAAAAATTTATGATAAGAACATTTAGAAGTTTTCAAAAGCAAATCCTTGAACTACAGAAATCCTTAATGGACAGGATAGAAAATCTCTCTCATGAAAATGAAATTTTAAGGAAGAATCAAAATGAAACTCAGAAACTAGTAGAACAGGAAAGTGTGATAGTGAAGAGAAATCAAAATGAAATGAAGAGCTCAATAGATCAAATGACAAACACATTAGAGAGCCTTAAAAACAGAATGGGTGAAGCGGAACAGAGAATATCGGACTTAGAAGACAGAGAACAGGAAAGGATACAGTCAAACCAAAGAAAAGAAGAGGAAGTTAGAAATCTAAAAAATATTGTTGGGAATCTACAGAATACTATTAAAAAAACCAACATTCGAGTTCTAGGAGTTCCTGAAGGCATGGAACGAGAGAAAGGATTAGAAGGCCTTTTTAGTGAGATACTAGCAGAAAACATTCCGGGTTTGGAGGACAGAGACATCCTAGTACAGGAAGCTCATAGAACACACAGTAAACATGACCAAAAGAGATCCTCACCATGACACGTTGTAATTAAACTCACCACAGTGAAACAAAGAAAAGATCCTAAAATGTGCAAGAGAGAAACGTCAGATTACTCTCAGAGGATCTCCAATTAGACTCACAGCTGACTTCTCATCAGAAACCCTACAGGCTAGGAGGGAATGGCGAGATATAGCACAGGTGCTAAGAGAGAAAAATTGCCAGCCCAGAATATTATATCCTGCTAAGCTCTCATTTGTGAATGAAGGTGAAATAAAGACCTTTCATAGCAAACAGAAATTGAAAGACTTTGCCGCCACTTGTCCAGCCCTGCAAAAGATACTTAAAGATGTGCTACACCCAGAAACACAGAAACACGGCCATCAATATGAAAGAAGGTAAAGGAAGAACACCTACCAGTAAAAGATCATAGGAAGCTCAAAGCATATACTAGAAAATATCTTCGGGAAAATGGCAGGGCAAAGTCACTATGTATCAATAGTCACATTAAACGTGAATGGACTTAACTCTTCAGTTAAAAGACACCGATTGGCTGATTGGCTTAAGGAACACAACCCAACTATTTGTTGCCTACAAGAAACACATCTCTCTAACAAAGATGCAGGCAGACTGAAAGTAAAAGGTTGGAAAAAGATATTCCATGCCAACAGAAACCAAAAAAAAAAGCAGGTATAGCCATATTAGTATCAGACAAAATAAACTTTAATACAAAAACTGTTAAGAGAGACAAAGAGGGGCACTATCTAATGATTAAGGGTTCAATTCAACAGGAAGATGTAACTATTATAAATGTATATGCACCTAATTACAGGGCACCAGTCTATTTAAAAGATGTTAAGGGACTTAAAGGGAGACTTAGATTCCAATACGATAGTACTGGGGAACTTCAAAACTCCACTCTCAGAAATAGAAGATCATCCGGACAGAAAATCAACAAGGAAACAGCAGATTTAATCGACACTATTGCCCAAATGGATCTAACAGATATCTACAGAACTTTCAATCCTACATCTAAAGACTTTACATTCTTCTCAGCAGTGCATGGAACCTTCTCTAGGATTGATCACATACTAGGCCATAAAGCAAGTCTCAGCAAATTGAAAAGAATTAGAATCATACCATGCAGCTTCTCAGATCATAGCGGAATGAAGATGGAAATTAGCAACTCAGGAAACCCTAGAAAGTATGCAAACACATGGTGACTGAACAACATGCTCCTGAATGAACACTGGGTCATTCAAGAAATCAAAAGAGAAATCAGAAACTTTATGGAAGTAAATGAGGATAACAACACAACATATCAAAACTATGGGATATGGCAAAAGCAGTATTGAGAGGCAAGTTTATAGCAATAGGTGCCTATATCAAGAAATTGGAAAGGTACCAAATAAATGAGTTCTCAGCGCATCTCAAGGACCTAGAAAAACTGCAGCAAACCAGACCCAAATCTAGTAGGAGAAGAGAAATAATTAAAATCAGAGAAGAAATTAACAGGATTGAATCCAAAAAAAAAAAAATTACAAAAAACCAGCCAAGGGAAGAGCTGGTTTTTTGAAAAAATAAAAAAATTGACACCCCATTGGCCCAACTAACTAAAAAAAGAAGAGAAAAGACCCAAATCAATAAAATCAGAGATGAAAAAGGAAACTTAACAACAGACACCACAGAAATAAAAAGAATCATCAGAAATTACTACAAGGACCTGTATGCCAGCAAACAGGAAAATCTATCAGAAATGGATAGATTCCTGGACACATGCAATCTACCTAAATTGAACCATGAAGACATAGAAAACCTAAATAGACCCATAACTGAGACAGAAATTGAAACAGTAATAAAGGCCCTCCCAACAAAGAAAAGCCCAGGACCAGATGGATTCACTGCTGAATTCTACCAGACATCTAAAGAAGAACTAATTCCATTTCTTCTCAAACTATTCAGAACAATCGAAAAAGATGGAATCTTCCCAAATTCTTTCTATGAAGCCAGCATCACCTTAATCCCTAAGCAAGAGAAAGATGCAGCACTGAAAGAAAATTACAGACCAATATCCCTGATGAACATAGATGCAAAAATCCTCAATAAAATTCCCACCAATAGAATACAACAACACATCAGAAAAATCATCCACCCAGACCAAGTGGGATTTATCCCTGGTATGCAGGGATGGTTCAGCATTCGCAAATCAATCAATGTGATTCACTATATTAACAGACTGCAGAAGAAAAACCATACGATTATCTCAATAGATGCGGAGAATGCATTCGATAAAATTCAACATCCTTTCATGATGAAAACTCTAAGCAAATTGGGTATATAAGGAACATTCCTCAATGTAATCAAAGCAATTTATGAAAAACCCAAGGCCAGCATCCTATTGAATGGGGAAAAGTTGGAAGCATTTCCACTGAGATCAGGCACCAGACAGGGATGCCCACTCTCACCACTGCTATTCAACATAGTTCTGGAAGTTTTATCCAGAGCCATCAGACAAGAAAAAGAAATTAAAGGAATACAAATTGAGAAGGAAGAAGTCAAACTATCTCTCTTTGCAGACTATATGATTCTTTACTTAGAGGATCCAAAGAACTCTACTAAGAGACTATTGGAACTCATAGAAGAGTTTGGCAAAGTGGCAGGATATAAAATCAATGCACAAAAATCAACAGCCTTTGTATACACAAGCAATGCCACGGCTGAGAAAGAACTGCTAAGATGAATCCCATTCACAATAGCTACAAAAACAATCAAATACCTTGGAATAAACTTAACCAAGGACGTTAAAGATCTCTACAATGAGAATTACAAAATCTTGAAGAAAGAAATAGAAGAGGATACTAAAAATAGAAAAATCTTCCATGCTCATGGATTGGAAGAATCAACATCATCAAAATGTCCATTCTCCCAAAAGCAATTTATAGATTCAATGCAATCCCAATCAAGATACCAAAGACATTCTTCTCAGATCTAGAAAAAATGATGCTGAAATTCATATGGAGACACAGGAGACCTCGAATAGCTAAACCAATCTTGTACAACAAAAACAAAGCCGGAGGCATCACAATACCTGATTTCAGGACATACTACAGGGCAGTTGTAATCAAAACAGCATGGTACTGGTACAGAAACAGATGGACAGACCAATGGAATAGAATAGAAACAGCAGAAATCAACCCAAACATCTACAGCCAACTCATATTTGATCAAGGATCTAAAACGAATTCCTGGAGCAAGGACAGTTTATTCAATAAATGGTGCTGGGAAAACTGGATTTCCATGTGCAGAAGCATGAAGCAAGACCCCTACCTTACACCTTACACAAAAATCCACTCAACGTGGATTAAAGACCTAAATCTACGACCTGATACCATCAAGTTATTAGAGAACATTGGAGAAACCCTGCAAGATATTGGCACAGGCAAAGAGTTTCCGGAAAAGACCCGGGAGGCACAGGCAGTCAAAGCCAAAATCAACTATTGGGATTGCATCAAATTGAGAAGTTTCTGTACTGCAAAAGAAACAGTCAGGAGAGTGAAGAGGCAACCGACAGAATGGGAAAAAATATTTGCAAACTATGCAACAGTTAAAGGGTTAATAACCAGAATCTACAAAGAGATCAAGAAACTCCACAAAAACAAAACAAACAGCCCACTTAAGAGATGGGCCAAGGACCTCAATAGACATTTTTCAAAAGAGGAAAGCCAAATGGCCAACAGGCACATGAAAAAATGTTCAAGATCACTAGCAATCAGGGAAATGCAAATCAAAACCACAATGAGGTTTCACCTCACCCCGGTTAGAATGGCTCACATGCAGAAATCTACCAACAACAGATGCTGGCGAGGATGTGGGGAACAAGGGACACTAACCCACTGTTGGTGGGAATGCAAACTGGTCAAGCCACTATGGAAGTCAGTCTGGAGATTCCTCAGAAACCTGAAGATAACCCTACCGTTCGACCCAGCCATCCCACTCCTTGGAATTTACCCAAAGGAATTTAAATTGGCAAACAAAAAAGCGGTCTGCACCCTAATATTTATTGCAGCACAATTCACAGTAGCCAAGACCTGGAACCAACCTAAATGCCCATCAACAGTAGACTGGATAAAGAAATTATGGGATATGTACTCTTTAGAATACTATACCGCAGTAAGAAACAATGAAATCCAGTCATTTGCAACAAAATGGAGGAATCTAGAACACATCATGCTGAGTGAAATAAGCCAGTGCCAAAGGGACAAATATCATATGTTCTCCCTGATCGGTGACAACTGACTGAACACCAAAAAGGAAACCTGTTGAAGTGAAATGGACACTACAAGAAATGCTTACTTGATCAGCATAGCCCTGACTGTTAATGAACAATTTAATACATTATCCCTCTTAGTATTTTTTTGTCTGTTCTACTTAATACTACTGGTTTAATTCTGTAATTAATACACAGTTATTCTTAAGTGTTAAAATTTAACTGAAATGTGATCCCTGTTAAATATAAGAGTGGGAATAAGAGAGGGAAGAGATGTACAATTTGGGACATGCTCAAGCTGACTTGCCCCAAATGGTAGAGTTAGAAACATACCAGGGGATTCCAATTCAATCCCATCAAGGTGGCATGTACCAATGCCATCTCACTAGTCCAAGTGATCAATTTCTGTTCACAATTGATCATAATGAAAGGACTAAGAGTCAAAGGGATCACATAAACAAGTCTAGTGCCTGCTAATACTAACCGATAGAATAAATAAAGGGTAGAGCGATCCAACATGGGAAACGAAATACACAGCAGACTCATAGAATGGCAGATGTCCTAAACAGTACTCTGGCCTCAGAATCAGCCCTAAAGGCATTCGGATCTGGCTGAAAAGCCCATGAGAGTATTTCAGGCATGGAAAGCCAAGACACTCTGGAAAAAAAAAAAAAAAACCCTAAATGAAAGATCTCTGTGAGTGAGATCCCAGTGGAAAGAACAGGTCTTCAAAGAAGGCGGTACCTTTCTCTGAAGGGAGGAGAGAACTTCCACTTTGACTATGAACTCGTCTAAATAAGATAAGAGTCGGAGAACTCAAAAGGCTTCCATAGCCTTAGAAACTCATGACTGGAGCATAGGGAGATTACTGATGCCATAAACAGGAGTGTCAATTTGTAAAGTCAACAACAGGAGTCACTGTGCATTTACTCCTCATGTAGGATCTCTGTCCTTAATGTGCTGTACATTGAGATTTAATGCTATAACGAGTACTCAAACAGTATTTTTCACTTTGTGTTTCTATGTGGGTGCAAACTGTTGAAATCTTTACTTAATGTATACTAAACTGATCTTCTGTTTATATAGAAAATTGAAAATGAATCTTGATATGAATGGAAGGGGAGAGAGAGTGGGAAAGGGGAGGGTTGCATGTGGGAGGGAAGTCATCGGGGTGAGGGGGAAGGCAATGTAGTCCATAAGCTGTACTTTGGAAATCTATATTCATTAAATAAAAGTTAAAAAAAAAGACATACAACTCAGTAGATTTTAGTATATTCACAAAGTTTTGGAATCATCACCAATATCTAACTTGAGATCATTTTCATTACTATAAAAATAAATCCTCTACTAATTATCAAATTCCGCATGACTTAAGCCTCTGGAAACCATTAATCTACTTTTTGTCTCCATAGATTTAACTGTTCTGGACAGTTCTTCCAAGTGGAAATCATATGTGACCTCTTACAACTAGCTTCTTTCATATGGCATGTTACCAAGGACTGTTTATGTAGTAACATGAATCAGTTCTTCATAACTTCTTATTGACATTCCATTGTTTGGATAGGCCATATTTCACTCATCTACTCATCAGTGGATGGACATTTGAGTTGTTTCTACTTTTAGACTCTCACAAGTAGCATTGCTGTGAACTTCCATATACAAGTTTTTGTGCAAACATCCTTTTCAGTTCTCTTGAATAATACCTAAAGTAGACTTGCTGGCTTTGAGATACCCTGATAAGTGGGAAATATCTCATTGTGGTTGCATTTCCCTAATGACTAATTATGTTGAGCATCTTTTCATGTATTTATGGGCCATTTATTTCTGGATAAATGTCTATTCAAATTCTTTGCTCATTTTTTAAAAGATTGGATTAGGGCAGTGCTGTGCCGCAGCGAGTTAACACCCTGGCCTGAAGCACCGGCATCCCATATGGGCGTCAATTAGAGACCTGGCTTCTCCATTTCCAATCCAGCTCTCTACTATGGCCGGCCTGGGAAAGCAGTAGAAGATGGCCCAACTCCTTGGGCCCTTGCACCCGTGTGGGAGACCCAGAAGAAGCTCCTGGCTTCTCGCTTCAGATTGGCGCAGCTCTGGCCGTTGTGGCCAATTGGAGAGTGAACCATCGGATGAAAGACCTCTCTCTCTCGCTCTTTCTCTGCCTCTCCTCTCTCTGTGTAACTCTGACTTTCAAATAAATAAATCTTAAAAAAAGATTGGATTATTTTTTCTTTTATTGTTGAGGTGAAAGACTTCTTTACATATTCTGTATACAAGTCTCATCACATACAGAATTTACAGGTGTTTTAGTCTGTGAGTTGTATTTTCACTTTCTTGATTGTGCATGATGGACTCTTTTGCTTCATATGTTTTGTTTGCTTATTAATCATTGTCCACATTGGGTTATGAAGAATTCTCAGTCTTCAACAAAACCTCTCATATGACTAGGGATAAGAAAAAGGCAGGCTTAAAGAGTCCCCTTTCTGGCTGCTACTGTCCTTTACACTATTTCAAAGAGATGGGGATGTTACAGAAACATGGTTAGCCCCATCTCATGTACTAAATTTTTTTTTTTGACAGGCAGAGTGGACAGTGAGAGAGAGAAAGGTCTTCCTTTTGCCATTGGTTCACCCTCCAATGGCCGCCACGGCACGGCTGCAGCAGGTGCACCGCGCTGATCCGAAGGCAGGAGCCAGGTGCTTCTCCTGGTCTCCCATGGGGTGCAGGGCCCAAGGACTTGGGCCATCCTCCACTGCACTCCCTGGCCACAGCAGAGAGCAGGCCTGGAAGAGGGGCAACCGGGACAGAATCCAGCGCTCCGACCGGGACTAGAACCCAGTGTGCCGGCACCGCTAGGTGGAGGATTAGCCTAGTGAGCCGTGGCGCCGGCTCATGTACTAAAATTGCAGAGCCGGCACAGAACCACCAGTGCTTACCCAGGGCTCACAGAGCTTCTGTGCAGGGCCACTGGGATAATTGTTTCACTCAGGGAACAGAATTTGCTCTCACCTAGTTGTCTGGATAGCCTCATACTTCCAGGCATCTCTTAGGGCAACTGTCTGGATGGCCCTGAAATTCTGCCAGAGCTAGCTTCTGTTAAAGGGAAAAGGAGAAGATTACATTTCAATAAATTCTTTCTAATTTCAAATTGACAAAGCAAATATTTACATGTTACTTACTGTGTACCAGAAACTAGGCTTGATATGGAGACTGAAAAATAATCACACATTCCTTACCCAAGGGAAGGTCACTTGGTAAGGGGAGACTGATGGAAAACAAACAGTGATAAATCCGCTTTATACCAACCTCTTTTTGGAACTAATGGTGATTCAGAAATGTTCATAGGTAGCCAGGGAGTGGTAGAAGTTACAGATTAAAGGCTGAGGTGAGTCTTTTGCCTATCAATTAAAGGACACCCGTGTCTCCCATCAGAATACCTGGGTTGAATTTCCAGCTCCAACTCCTTACTGCAGCTTCCTAATAATGCAGACCCTGACAGACAGCAGGTGATGGCTCAAGTAGTTGGGTTCCTGCCACCCATACGGGAGACCTGAATTGAGTTCCCAGCTCTGGTTTTGGCTGCATTTGAGCCCCAGCCTTTGTGATCACTTGGAGAGTGAAATAGCTAATACAAGCTCTCTCTCTCTCTCTCTCTCTCTCTCAAATAAAGTAAATAAAATTTAAAAATAATAAATTGGGCCAGCGCCGTGGCTCACTTGGTTAATCCTCCGCCTGCGGTGCCGGCATCCCATATGGGCGCCAGGTTCTAGTCCCGGTTGCTCCTCTTCCAGTCCAGCTCTCTGCTGTGGCCCAGGGCTCATAGAGCTTCTGTGCAGGACCACTGGGACCACTGTGCAGACCACTGCCTAGTGGAGGATGGCCCAAGTGCTTGGGCCCCTGCACCCACATGGGAGACCAGGAGGAGGCACCTGGCTCCTGGCTTCTGGCTTCGGATCGATGTAGCTCCGGCCGTGGCAGCCATTTGGAGGGTGAACCAACGGAAAGAAGACCTTTCTGTCTCTCTGTCTCTGTCTCTTTCTCTGTTTCTCTCTGTGTGTCTCTCTGTCTCTCTCTCACTGTGTAACTCTATCTTTAAAAACAAAAACAAAAACAAAAAATAAATAAAAGGCAGGCTGGACCAAATTATGAGGAGACCAGAATGTGACGTCAGTAATAGTCAATGGGGAGCTGTCATTTGAATGTTCAAAGAATGACTCAGAGATAAGTATGGGAGACAGAATGAGGTAGAGGAGGGACACCAGAGGCAGGGAGACCAAGGAGAGGGCCTGGTAACCAGTTGGACATAGATGGAAAAGAATCAAGTAAAATAAAATACAACTTTGAAATGTCTGAGGCCTTCCCTACTAACCTCTTTAAAATAGGATATCTGTCTCTCACTAACCTTTGCTTAAATTTTTCCCATAGAACTTACCACCACCACACAGACATACACACACACACACACACACACACACACATTGTCCAATTCACTAGAATAAAAGAACCAACGAGGAAAGGTCTTTGCTGTGTTTACTGTTATAGGTCCAGGGCTTACCACACAAAACAAATTTCTGAAGCGCTGCATGAAATGGTTCACTTAAGAGATCAATGGATTGCAATATCATCAACTAAGACAGGAACTACGGAAGGAAAGGGCAGTTTGCAAGAATAAATGATGGGTTTCGTTTAAGCATGGGATGCCACTGTGAACATGTAGTCTGGAACCTGGTAGGGTGGGCTGATGATTGACATTGGATCTTGGTGCTTCAGTATTGATAAAAGGAGGAGTTTGTGATCAAGGAGAGGTTGATGCACTGTGTGTTCTCAGAGGGTGGCACAATAGGTGATTAGCTGTGACGTCTGCTGTCAGAACCATTGTCTTTATTATCTCTGTCTCCCTACATTTCAAATAAATTAAATAATTAAAAAAAGAAAAATGAACAGTAGTGTAATTCACTCCATTGGCATTATTAATAGTACTGAGAGTTGAACACAGTGAATATCAAACATAGTATTTGTTGTAGAACTAGAGCCATCAGTCAAGGTTCAAGTCAGATGAATTATGTCATTCAGTTATTCAATGTTGCTGAACTGAAATTAAAATGTGGTTATTGAGTTTATGATTTTTTTAAAAAAGATTTATTTATTTTATTTGAAAGTAAATTACACAAGAGAGAAGGAGAAGCAAAGAGAGAGAGAGAGAGAGAGAGAGAGAGAGAGAGAGGGAGAGAGAGAGATCTTCCATGTGATGGTTCACTCCCCAGTTGGCTGCAATGGCGGGAGCTGCGCCGATCCGAAGCCAGGAACCAGGAGCTTCCTCCAGGTCTTCCACATGGGTGCGGGGCCCAAGGAGTTGGGCCATCTTCTAATGCTTTCCCAGGCCACAGCAGAGAGCTGGATCGGAAGTGGAGCAGCCGAATCTGGAACCAGCGGCCATATGGGATGCTGGCACTTCAGGCCAGGGTGTTAACTCACTGCGCCACAGAGCCAGCCCCTGAGTTTATGATTATTAAAATAGACCTTTCTTTATAGGATTTAATTTTTGCAGGAAATGTTGTCACTTTAGGAGAGCCGATACCATATTGTGATGGAGCAAAAGTAGTTCTGACCCTTCGTACAGATGTCACAAAATCCCCGGGTCAGACGGCCTCTGACTGCTTCCTTCCTTCCCAAGGGGCCACCCACCTCCCAGACGGGCCCCTGACTATCTGTCATTGCAGAACAGCTCAGGCTGGCTGAAGTCATGATTTGCGCCCAACGCAGAACATCACTACCTCACTTGGGCCTGGATGAAAGGCAACAGTAAGCAGAATGGAGTCTGGCTTCCAGAGCGCCCCCTGCAGGACTTTCCCATACCATGCAGAAAGATGGGTGAGTTAGCACTCTGGGGGATGACTTGTGACAAATAAGAAATAGGAGTGCGTGTGGCTCCATGAGCTGCGGTTCTTTGTTGAACCACAGCACATAACATCATTTTGCTTCATCTCTTTCCCTGCCTCAGTGTCCTGGGTTCTCACC